TATCATAGGCATTACACATGCATTCAATAAAATAGCTTACTGAATATCACAAGGAATGGTAAGTAGCCGATCAAAGACAGCAACTAGTTAAACACACAGCAGAAAGTTTGATTAAACCCCAAATTGATACAGCTTCATATAACTGAGAGCAGACAGACCTTCCATCCTGAAGGGAAAGTTACTACTTGGTGGCAATTAAATCAAAGCCTCCATAAGCAAACATGCTTGATTTTTTTTTTAGGTCATAATTAGGTTCAGTTCAACGAAATGGGTTCAGTTCAACGAAATGGAAGCTAACAGCTGTATTGTAAAAAAAATGACACCTTTAAGTAAATATCACATGCGCACTTTCGAGCCCAAATGTGGAAAAATATAATTCTACAATTAAGAGAGCCAGTACCTCCTGCTAGGGTGCCGAGGGTTATATTGACTATCAGGAAGGGAAACACATCGTGGGGATTAACGCCAAGTTCCTCTGTGTAATCACTATCAGCCCCCCCACACACAATTATTTCCAATTAAAGTAATCACTGCTCAACATTTGCTACCAATTACCATCACCAGCAATTGAATGCCACAGAGCCCCTCGGTCTGACGACAGCAGCGGGAAATCCAATTTCCTGCCATGCAACAAAAGATTTTTCTCGGCTACCCTCCAAGATACCAGATATCGAACAGTAAAGTTGAAAAAAAAAAGCGAAACATCCGAACATCCGAGACCATTCGAGCAGCAAACGAGAGATGTCGGTTGACCTGGGGCCATTTTGCACAACTGACGACAATCTTCTGTGAGAGGTTCTGGTAGCAGCCATAAGCAGAACCCTGTGCAAAGAGGATTCAAAGTTACTTGGATGAGGGAATGACCGAAAAAGGTAGACGGTGAAAAAGAAAATAACATGACCACTTAAATACTGTATATAACCAATGTTTCTGTGACTTTTCTTTCTTGGTTATAAAGAACATTTTTGAGAGATTAGAAAGGCACAAATTTCTTCAGTCTCAATAGAATGTGAAACAACCAACAGATTTTTTAAAAACCAAAAAACCCAAGATTGTTTTGTTTTAGTAAAGATTTACAGCACTCGCAACTGCATAAAAGGTCCTAAGAGCACCAAGGGGTGGATATTAACAGAAGTCCAAATGGGGAATCGGGCTTACTCTGCTCACCTCTCTAACCTCAACAGCACAAATTCTGCTTCGACTATCAAGGCACCCCGGAAATAGCAGTTCACAAGAGAATGACAAACATACAAAAAAGTAGAGGTAAATGACGAGAGTAAAGATGAGGAAAGAAAAGGCTATGTTGTTCCAGCACAGTATGAGCACATTGATAAATCAGCCAATTTACAATCTACAGTGCAACAATATGGGCGGGTGGGGATTTCCAAAAACACCACACACTAAACCGTTCTGAGGAAGCTAACTGTATGAAGGCACTATCCAAAGGTCTTTCCTTAAAGCCTCACATTGCACCTCAAAAAAATTCTGATTTGCAATAGTCGCAAAGAGTTTTCCATGTTTTCAATTTTTAAAAAGTGGAGTGGAGTACAGATAAGTGAACAAGTGAACTGATTAAAAACTCCTTACCAGGTCCTGATGATGTCTGAGGATACCTCACAGTTCAGAGTACCAGCTTTGCAAGAAATCACAAACTGCCAACCTTCGACGACAGGAGAGTAAGACATCCACCATTCCATCCAATCAATCAAAATTCAGTTTCACCACAATCTCATCCAATCAGCAGCCCACGGACCACAATCTCATCCCGTCAGCAGCATCCGGAATCTGCAGTAATGTCCATACTTCTTTCTGAAGCTCTCACCATCTGTCTTAAAATCCACATATCCTATACTATAAGAACGCAGTGATCCTTGGAGCTCACAAAGATCTAAAACAAGATGCATTGACCCAAGTTTACAAAAGGGAACACAAGGGCACAAGTTCTTAATCCTCAGGGGACCAGGGTTCACACTTTAGTTATAGTTAAAAGTTTTACGCCAATTGTAACACAATAAGGTAATATAAGTGCCGAGATTATAGAGGTGTGTAACAAGAGAGTAACAGACACAAAAAAGACGGAGAAAAGGACGATAGATCTCTGATAGGAAAGCTATCAGATGAGTGAACAGTTTCAGCGACTTTTAAATTTATCTTCCCAACGATAGTTGCGACAAATCTTGTTTCAGCATCACCGCACGACTCTTCCATAAAAATAAACGCTTAAATAATGGCGTTATTTCTTTTACTCACATATTTCTGTGATTCTACCAAACAGACAAACTAAACCGTCTTTATTTGTTAAAGTAAACAGCAGAACATTGACATAATAATGGTAATTTAGTGCTGGGAACAAATAAGACAGATGGACAGAGATACAGTGGGAAAGTAAAGAGGTAGAACCCATCAGTGACCCCCTTCAACTACCGGCAAAAACACCCTCCAGTAACAGCACGAAAATAAAGGACAATTGTCCTGTAGCCCTTATTCAGCCAGAACCTCTCCAACAAATACCTATAAGTTACAAAATTTAAAGGTAGTGGCAATAAAAAAATTTAAGCACGAAGATTCCTCAACAAACTAGCATTGCAAAAATGAACTGGCAGAACCAATAACATTATTTCCTTCCAAGTCCTAAAAATAAAAAATTACAAGTTTTAAACCAAACATTTCGAAAAAGAGAAGACCGCCATGTTAATGAGCCACTTCCTGGAGAATGAGCCAGACTCAGACACAATGCAACAACCCTCACCCCAGAATCAAGCGTCATGGTGCTATGACATTTCAAACTGAGCCGTATGACGATACATTGAAGGTTCAGTCGGAGAAGAGATGTGGTCTCGAGAGGAGGGATCCGGACTCATGAAATTTTTTTAAAATAGCCCTAATGAACACACATAAAGCTGATCCAGGGAAACAGGTTAAATTTTGGTTTCCTCAATTCAATAGAGCAGCAGCACATTTTTTCCCCAAAAAAACGGAGACACTCGTCAGCTTGGCCAGTAGCTCCGAATGGTGCTCTGACTTGGTCCAACTGAGCAGTCCACACCGCTTGGTGTCAGCTCATCCCCCTTAGAACGATCTGTAGCATAAAATGGAAGTTTAAATCACACTGTATAAAATGTGTGAACGCTTGAACTAGAACAAATCTTTTAAGACACTTATTTGATTTAAATAAATGTGTAAAAAATCTAAGCAAAAATATGGACTACACAGGTCAACATTGTGCAAAACGTAACTTTGGCTGACAGTAATATTGGTGTGTATATGCCAATCACAATTCAGACAAAGGAATTATGAAATACCAATTGCAACCTAATACCAATATACAACAAATAAAGTGGTCAGTGAAGTCTTTCATATAACACTTCATCAAGGGAAATTTGTTCAATTATAAGGCTACAGATTCATAAAGCCAATCTTCATGTTTGCTTTTATAAACCTGAAATAAAAATATTAATCTTTCTTGTGGCTCATGGTTCACAGATAGAAAAAGGTGCAGCACAATCACTTTGAACATAAATAAATTTGATGATTATATAGTATTCAGAGTAAATATGGCTTCAAACAAATGCAAAAGAAATTACATTCTGTTTCAATATTGTAAGACATAATTAACTCAAGAAACTCTCAAATGATGACCAGATCTTTCTGCCATATAGAAAGACAAATGTGGTGAACTTCCTTTCCCAAACTTTTCAATATGATCTGTTTATATACAAACCATTGTACCCAAGAAGATGGATCCAGCCTGCTGGTTGAGCAAGGAGGCGGAGGAGACAAACCATTAAGTGTGTCTATCTCCAGCTTTCCACTTCTCAAACCAAGGCCAGAAGATTATCTGTGCACATCCAGTTTGTGGTGGTGGAAGGAGAGAAAAAAACTAAATTAACACAGGGGTCCTCATTCAATACAACGCTAGTTGGACAGAAAATAGTACGTTAGAGGTGCCACCTATATTTCCAGGTATTGTAGACAGGCAAAAAAAACACAAAAAAACATCATAAACTATGATCTGGAATAAAAACTGATATAAACCAAAGTCTTATACTCTCACTCTTCCAAAATTCGTGGTAAAGTGGCACCTCGAGTTGAACACATGATGCTCCATAGTTTCCATCTTTCACAACTAGTAGCCAAGGGTGAGATCAGCTTGGGCTATTGTGTATAAAAGCAATTTAGCTCATTACTTTGTGCAAAAAAAATTCTAAAGAGCAGGATTTCAACACATATGTTCACAATTCTAGCTTTTTTTTATAAATAACATTATTGGGGTTCTCTTTTTTCTTTAAAACTTAAATGACTATGGTACATCACATTCAACATGGCTCAAAAACCTGAATACGACTAAATGACTCACATCTGCCCCCAGCCAAGCCTTCACATCTTGATATAACATAAAAAAGGACATGAACATATCGTCACGCAACTGTCCGGATGTATTAAGCCGAAAATTTTGATTTTTCTCTTTTGCAGTTTTTTTATGTGGAATCTAAAAGCATGTGTTCGAATAATATGTTGTTGAAATTTAATGCCAAAGAAAAAAAGACAAGAAAAGATACACGAACAAGTATAATATAAATGATTTTGTTTCTTTCACTTGAAAAATTTTGCATTTTGAGCTTAGAACAATTGAACAGCTTACCAACTATATACTTCTTTTAGTTACCCTACTTTATTTTTTTATTTTTTTTTACTTCGAGAATCCCTTATTCCATCATTATTTCATGTACAACAGTGTGAAAGGGGTGAGGAGAATTGATAGGCAGGGAAAAATTCACGGTAAACATCTCTGAGATGTGATTTCATTTTACTCTTTAGCTCGGAAAGCAACAAAAATGGGGATTGCTGGGGTTGTTTCAGTCTACGCCATCAGCACTGGAGTATAGAAGAGGCAAACTGGTGTCACTGTTCATATGCCGATACTAATTCTGAGCTTAACTCGAGGAATTGCATTAAAAGAATAATGAAATTTTGAGAAAATGCGACAATCTAATTCTTACCTTTTATTTCTCACTTGCTTGACGTGATGAAAGACATTGATCACATCTCTGTTTCGCTTGGGGCACTCTTCAATCTTTGAGGCTAGCATTATGCTGGCCATGGCCACAACCTGTCAACAGGTAATAAAAAGTTAAGACCAAGAACACTAAATAAGGAGATTACCATGACCAGTGCCCTGGCAAAACTTACTCTCAAGCAAGTTTTGATCAGTCGATAGTACTGAACAATAAAAAAAAATATTAATCAAAGAAAGGATTTCTACTACAACCATTATGACAAACTTTCCTTGATGGGACCCCCCCCCCCAATAAAATAGAACCACATATTGACAGAGAACGACCAATTTAACTTTATAAGCTCAAATCTGAAGAGAAGTACTTCATTTAGTCATGAAAACAAGCGAACAATGAATTGTTCCACATCAAGTGAGTGACATGTCATTCACGGTATATATAGAAATCCTTTCCTTCAAAACAACTGACATTAATTCAGGAAAATGACCATCACAACGCCTGCACTCATGTACTCAGTGTATTGAGCTAAACTGTGTGAATAACCCAGCCCATGCTCGTATTTTCTGTTATCCCAACTCACTTTGATTAAAGTTTGGTGACCCTTCTTCTACAGCAACTAGTCATGACAAACAAACAGCAAAAGACATTAAAATATAGAATGAAACTTTAATTTAAATTTTAGTCAATATTTTTCAGTCAGTCAGCTTTTTCTGGCAGGAAAAGGATGGTTTACTGATCAGTTCTAGTTCTGCCGTCTTCCCTTTTGCCTTTTGACCCAAATAACTACATCCAGATTAAATCCTCATCAATGTAATATATTATATTCTTCCTCCTGACCAAGCATTGTCTGCTCATTCATTTACTTCTCTCCTTCATTGTTAAGTTAACTATAAATCGCCATCAATGGCAGAGATCAATAATCTTGATTCAAGGTCAATTCAAAGAAAAATACAAGTTTAAAAAATCAGCGAAAAAGTGCCAGACTACGATTGTAACTTGCTCTCCAGTTGCGAGACAGTTTAATCACATAAAGACAAAAACTGAAAAACTGAGCAGAACCAAAAGCCATAGTTTTAACCCAAGGTGGATTTACATTTACAAAAAACATGATAAAATGAAAAATACAGAAGGGGCATTTTACGTTGACTATCTTCCTGGATTAATGTCAGTTGTACAATTAGTACTTTAAGAGATTGCACACACCATATACAGAATGAATCCACTTACCTCCATATTATGCTTGATGAAGGACTTTGAAAAGTAGAATCTTTGAAACACAACCTGGGCAGTTGCCATAGCCACCTGAAAGAAAATGTATAAATTTAAATATATTATAAATTGTTATATGAAGTTTTTCAAAAATAAAACTTGAGAAAATGTTCAATTGTCTGTGCATACTCAGATCAAGTCATCAGTATTGATGCACAGTCAAACACAGTTAACTCGCATTCGTCGGGGATTGAAATGCTTCATAATACGATATATAGCCTAGATCTAGATTCTAGGCTAACCTACATAAAAAACTTCAAAGCAACAAATGATAGGCCTAATTTATGGGAAAAACTGTTGGTCAGTCGGGAGAACAGAAAATTTTTTAAAAACCTTCCGGGACCAGGGTTCGTTTCCAGGCTCATAAAATAGGCTAATTGTATGACTTTAAACTTTAACTTTTGTCCTGCGCCTGTGCTGAGATGTGAATCTTAGTAACAGATTACGTTGGACGTTCTGGGCAGGCCGCCGGGGTCACTCAGTGTGTGCTGTGTTGGTGTACAGCGCATACGACGTGAAACGTGTTTTCGCTGTGAATACCGAGGGAGTGTGTTAACCAACGAAGAAAATAACGCTTTATCTTTCATAGCTTTCTATTTATAAAGTGTTACAAACACAAGAATAACTCCCTCTCATAAATAAGCTGATAAGACATTACGAGTAGTTACACCCACTCTAATAACCTTTCTAGACCCTCTTGTTATTTTGAATGACCTGCGGTTCGAAAGGTGATAACATAGGTCATGATAGGTCAATTTTCGAATGTTTGGCACTCAAATTGTTCTTTGTACCTGCACAATGGTATTCAAAATTATTAAATAAGCTTATTTTTTATCAGGCAGTATTATTCCATACAAAATCAAGCTCATTTGAAAGATTTTGTACAGAAAAAATAAGTCTTGTTTCCTGACTATCCTTTAAAGCTCCTTGTGTCTAAGTGGGTCAATTTGTTCTATAATTTCGGTAAATTTTTACTTTCACCCCCGCACACAGATGCACTGTTTCAGGGGTCAAACTGCTGTACTGTTTGCTGCAGATCACACTAAAGCCACTAAAACTGTCGCTTATCAATTATTTTCAAGACAATTTCAAATCTAACTGTAAAATATCAAATTATATGTAAAAACAGGGGGGCATGCCCCCCTGTAACCCCCCAGATGTTCTTTTACACCAGTGGGGCAGGCCCCCCTGGAACCCCCCGATTGGTCCTAGCATGTCTATCTCGGTTAAAAACAATCAAATATTTCAAAAAACTATTAATTTGCGACGGAAATGAAGTTGATATTCGTGTTCAGCGCATCAATATTTAGTAGAAAATAGACAACTGGTAGCTGAGTGTGAGACGGGAGGGAAAGTAAAAAAATAGCACAGGCGAGTCTTTTGGCTATTCTCACCCGGTGGGCGTTCACCGTTTACAGCCTAGGCCAACCAGTGAAGCGTTCACCCTGAACCACAGAATTCTACACTGTGATAACAGAATTATAGAATTCTGTACTGTGAACAAACGTTCTAGATCTATTACTCCTGTTAGTGTTAGCCTAAAAGCGTGCAATTTTGTCTGTGGGCAGTGGAGAGAGAGAAACAGAGAGAGAGAGGAGTAGGCCTAGCGCGAGAACTTCCGGGCAAAACAAAATGGCGACCCGCGTAGTTCGGCTCGATTCGGAAAGTTAAATAGCCGTAGCATCTTTGTAGACAACCAAATTAATTTAGTTTTCTTGTTTAAAATCATTTTTTAACTTTGTTTTGGTCAATTTGATCGTCCACACCGATAGAGAGCATTCAGAAAGAGACAGAGAGAGAGAGAGAGAGAGAGAGGAGGAGTAGATCTTGCGAGAACTTCCGGGCAAAACGAATGGCGACCCGAGTAGTTCGGCTCGATTCGAAAAGTGAAATAGCCATAGCATCTTTGAAGACGATCAAATAAGCTTGCTTTTGTTAGCAATGACAATGAAAAATTAAATGTTCATCCAAATTGCTTAAAAATGGGCTTAAATGAAAATAAAGTAAATTTTAAGAACTATGGTTTTTAAATTTTAAAAATCCATATAAATAAAAAAGTTATTGGGGTTTTTGTTTGCAAAATGTTGGAGGACCTTCATATAGGAAAAAATTGCCAAAATGTGGGACATGTTTTGATGTATTTTGAGAAAAAAATTCATAAGTCAGTAATGAATTGGAGCATATGAATGAAACTTGGCATCTCCCTGTGATTTTTAGTGCAGAATCTAGTTCTGCTATCACTTTTTCGATGTCTTTATTACTTTGGATCTTAAAGACTGATATTTGCGTGAAATTTGGTGAATTGCGTGACATCGTTTTTACCGCGACGCGATCGCTCCTTCTAAAACTCAGTAAAGCACTATCGGGAAATCCCGCGATGTAGTCATCGGTGACCTATTTGGTTATAGGCAGCCAATCACATGCCGCCTAGCGATCACGCGCCTCTTGCATGCCGGCACCTCGCGTTTAGAATGCGTGATCTAGTTTCCAGATCTAGTGTTTTATCAATGGATGGGTGGTAATTTTAAGTTGGTACGGAAAATCTACTAAACGCAGAGATCTGAAATTTTACAGCAATAAGGAACACATGTGGGGCGCTTGTGTGGTCTGCGATCAACCCGCAGCTCCGCTTAGTTTTCGAACCGCAGAGGAAATTCGCACAAACACGGCAATATCTTCGATTCTAGTAAGGCCACCTCTATTCTCACCCGGGATGAGAATAGTGCAGGCGAGTCTTTTGGCTATTCTCACCTGGTGCGCGTTCACCGTTATAGCCTAGATCTAGGCCAACAAATTGTGCGTTCACCCTAAACCACAGAATTCTACACTGTGATAACAGAAACATTGTAGAATTCTGTGCCGTGAACAAACGTTCCATTACAACTGTAGCCTACCAAAAACGTACAATTTTGTCTGTGGGCAGTGGAGAGAGAGAGAGAGAAAGAGAGAGAGAGAGAGGAGTAGCGTGAGAACTTCCGGTCAAAACAAAATGGCGACCCGCGTAGTTCGGCTCGATTCGAAAAGTTAAATAGCTGTAGCATCTTTGTAGACAACCAAATTAATTTACTTTTGTGTTTTAACATCATTTTTTAACTTTGTTTTGGTCAATTTGATTGTCCACACCGATAGACAGTATTCAGAAAGAGACAGAGAGAGAGAGAGAGGGGAGGAGTAGATCTTGCGAGAACTTCCGGGCAAAACAAAATGGCGACCCGCGTAGTTCGGCTCGATTCAAAAAGTGAAATAGCCATAGCATCTTTGAAAATGATCAAATTAGCTTACTTTTGTGCTATAACGTTAATTTTTTCTTGGCTTTTATCAATTTGATCATCCACACCGATAGACAGTATTCCAAAATGAGGAAAAGCAGGTCTTGTTTCGCACCGGGTGAGAATAGCCTACACTGGCAATTCTCACCCGGGGTGAGAGGTAGATCGTTTTTCTATTCTCACCCCGGATGAGAATAGCCACTTCCTTCTAGTAATCGTTCGGGATTGTACGCTGGCATGTCGTTAGTTTAACCTTTCCTCTGGTTGGTTGCAGAGTTTCATTTATTTTTGTCCAGGAGTTTTCCCGTAACTATACTTAGAAGAGAGTCACTTCTGATTCCGAGCTGCCCAAAAATTACCCCTCACGCGGAGGCCGATTTCCGGCCCAAGGCGCAGCGGGCGATTGGCATTGCTACTTTTGTGCTATAACGCAATCTTTTTTTGGCCTTTATCAATTTGATCATCCACACCGATAAACAGTATTCCAAAATGAGGAAAAACAGGTCTTGTTTCACACCCGGTGAGAATAGCCTACGCTGGCAAGTCTCACCCGGGGTGAGAGGTAGATCGTATTTCTATTCTCACCCCCGATGAGAATAGCCACTTCCATAATTTCATTTGACGAACATCTAGAGCTACCAACTTGCCATGTTTTGAATGAGACGTATGCCTCGGTTACAAACCAATGCAGGCGGTTCTAGAAGAAGGCCACAAACGCACACAAACTCTAGCAGACTGACGCACACACACACTTGAGCTATGTGAATGCGGATCCGACGCGGGACCCAAATTCAAGGGGAGATAGTGCTCGACGCGTGTGCGCCGAGCCAGGGGCTAGACTGACGCAGGACCAGAAAGCAGGCGGGGTGCTGAAATAGGCTTATCCGGTGACATAAACCCGTCCCGCCGTCCCCATGCAGGACGAGGGTTAAACGAAGACACGCGGTCCATCATTCAGCCATCAAAATTTCCAAAAGCAAAAGATAAAGATTAAGCTTGATAGATATAGAGTACATCCTGTGGTGCGATATACAGTAAGCGATCTTTTGTGGATATCTCTGGAAGTTACAGGTCGATCTTCATGATTTTTTCACCAGAAGTTAGAAAAACTTCCTCTCTATACGGTGTAGCACATTACTGTAACAGCAGTTTAAAATTTCTATATGTTGTGGTGGTGTTTGTTTGGTAACGTGTGTCTGGTTTGGTGCGCAAGGTTTCTGGTTTGGTGCAACATATCGTCTTGTTTGGTGCGCAATAGTACCATGTTTACAGCTCTAGATCTAGATCTAGATCTAGCTCTTTTCTGACACTTTTCATCTTTCTCTATCCTTGCTTTGTCTTCTTTTCCTAACAAGAAGTTCCTGTACTGACCATAATGGAAGGCCAAAGTCAATTAGGCGTGTTCTTTTTGGGAGCTGTGCGCCCCCTGACAGGAGATTTCCTTACACCGTGTGTATGTGTTTTGATAATGGATAAAAAGAAAGGTGCTGTGGACACAAGAAGGGGAAAGAAGAAAACAAGAATAAGACTATACCTAGACTAGTATTTTAGAAGGAAAAGGACAAAAAAGAAGAAGAAAAAGACGTGAAAAGAAGAAATTGAAAAAGAAAGGTGCTGTGGACACAAGGAAGTGAAAGAAGAAAACAAGAATTAGACTATACCTAGACTAGTATTCTTTAAGGAAAAGGGCAAAAAAGAAGAAGAAAAAGACATGAAAAGAAGAAATTGAACATTTTGGAGATTATATTTCCATATTAATTAATTTTGACATGAATACATTAACTTATCATCTTCCAATGGCAATATAATGCATCCAAATGGAAGGAAAACAGTCTGTTTCAGTGCACAATGCAGGTCATAGAGAAATAACTTAATAAGTAAAACAAACAAAGGGCCTAGAAGCCACACTATCAATGCCAAATAGCAAAAAAGCCGATATTGCGCACGAAACGGACTACCCAAATTTGGTCCGCTTCAGTGCGCAACCCTATCTAACACGTTCCTGGGCATTAAGAAGCAGCCTGCGATAGTATTTATCGATTCTAGTATACATTCTACGATACATTAGAGCTAGATTAGCTAGATGTGCTAAATAATCGACTACTCAAGCGCTTAGTAAATTGATCGATACCGGTTACGAAAACCATTAATATGAAGGGGCAAAACTTTCCGACACCGTAGAATCACGTGTGTTGACAGGAACCTCCAAAACGAAAGTGAAATAAGCTGCATTCTGCGCATGCTCACAGAAAATGACCTCGTTTTCGCTGTTCTTATCCAAAACAAAGCAGGAGACCGGGGGTTGCGCACCAAAACAGTAGCGCGGTGATGCGGGCCTACTCTAGATCTAGATCTAGATCTAGATCTACATATACATCCATCTTCGGTGCCATGCGGTTTGCTATATTTAGATGTAATCACATGATCGGAGGGGTATCCCTGTCTGACGTCAAACAAGATGGCCGCCTTCTTACCTAAAAAGTTTGCGTCGTTTTACGTTTAGTCACATGTTGTGCTTTTTTTTAATCTAGATTCTAGAGATCTTCACTGTAGCTTCATAGTATTTCTCACAACTAGTGAGTAGGGAGACTATCATTCTTCTACTCTGACTGTCATGGGGCCTATTCAACCTTCACCTCATATTTCATTATGTGATTCCCATATTAGTAAAGTGTTATTACCATTGACATCGTACTCCAATTGCCATGCTATTGTTAGACTAGAATTCTAGATCTAGATCTACTATGTGTATTCACTGAAAAGTGACATGTTACAGCAATAATAGACAAGGACCTCCTCCTATCCCATGGCCCATGGGCGCCATGACATTCTTCTTACCTGAGGCAGCTTGAGCAGGATTCCCGCAGTTTGAATCAGTTCACAGCCCAAAATCCTGAGGTCGATTTCCACTTCTTTGTCAAGCCCATCTTGCATCGAAGGTGTTTCTGACAATTTATCATTAGGTATGAGTACATTGTCAAGTGTAATCAAAACTCGACTGAAGTCACGTTTCATAGTCGTTGTAGTAGGTGTACCATCCGCCATGCTGAAACTCAATGTTCCTCCTTCAACATCACTGAGAACTACGCATGCGTCAAAGGTGACGTCAGAATATTCATACGCGGTAGGCCAGGGCATCTCACTCATCGGCCTCGGGCTATACGTAAGGGCCTATTTCTTTCACCGTTGCGTCGATCTCGGCCAAGATCTTTTCTAGGCCTAGGCCTAGGCCTATGGGCCAAGGCTGGGGTAGGCCTAGGCCTAAGCCTATATAAGAATCCAGATCCAGATTTTAGATCTAATCTATTTCTATTATTATATAGGTCTAGGTCTAGTCAGTGTTTTGCCTAGTGTTAGGTAAAAGGGAGGAAACTGTTTGAGCTATCACCTCCGCTTCCAAAGAACCTGATCAACAAATTATGCAATCGCTCCAAAGAATTATTACAGGCCTTTATTAACTTGTACTGTAATATCAGAGAGGGTTTACTTACAGTAACTGTAAAACTCTCTGTATCTAGGTCTAGCCTTCTTGGCTAAAAGCACGTAGGCTAGGCTTAGCCTAGGCTACAGTAAAATTACAATTATTTTCAATTTTCAATAAATGGAATTACATCACTAGCACTTTATAATTATATCTAGATATATAGCTAAACGACGTAAAAATGGGTTTAGTCTTCCAAATCAAAAGTTTCAGTTTTCCATCGGCCCCGAATTGTTTGTATTACATGTACATGACACACAGTTTGTTTTGGAATACAGCAACGCTAAAACATGTTTTTCGTTGTTCACACAAATTGAGTCTAAAAGTGTACTATCTTTGTCAAAATCATGGAAGTTATAGGCCAAGGTTAACCTAACTCTGCATGTGATGTTATCGTGGTTGTCAGCATCACGGGCCCGGCCGGTATACTTCAGGCCTACAATGGGCTAGGCTAGACTCCGCCTAAAAACACGCCGCGTAAGAACCCGGTCCACCGGAATTTTTCTCCATGATGTGCATACATACATGTAGGTCTTGCTATTGACCCCCCCCCCCCCCCTCCTAAAAAAAATAAGGTAAGCCGCCAACAAACACCCCCATGCGGTGAGCTGAGTATGATCACTTTTCCTGTAATGTTCTTGTTTTACCAGAACCTACAAATCTTTCTAAACAGCAAGCACCACTGATAAGAGCAGAGGAGAGACCATATTATAGAAGTTATGGATGGGCTTCTTCAACGCCAAACCAGGGGCCTAGTTGACCAGCAACAGCTAGCCTTATACAAGTAGTTCTGTTACGAAGTTAGATAATATCATGAAGCCCAATTATTTTTGGGTATGGGGAAAAGTGGTCATAGAAGGGGCGAATGAGCTGTAACTGATAACATGATTATTATTTATATGAAAAGATATGTAACAAAGGCGGGCATATGTGGGGTTGTTGTGAATGTCATCAGATGAGGGAGTTCGGGTGGCGTGAACTCTACTATAAGCCATAAGCGGGATAGGATACGAAATCTACACATTGTATTCACACTTACACTGTTTTTTCGACGTGCGTGATCTCGAACTGCCGTCGAATGATCCCATTATCTTATGAAAGTTGCCCCCTTTATATTGTTCCCAATTAATCCCTTAACCTGAACTGTACGATGCGATCGACAGGTTATCAGTCCATTAGTTTCCATTCACTTTCAAATAATGTGTACCGCATTAAAGCCGAGCTATGAAAATTCAGTTAGAATTCAATGAGTCTCATTTGGACTCCAAACAACATGCAAAACTCACTTAAATAGAACACCACACAGGCATAAAAAACATTTTATTTTAAGGAAATAAATTAAGAAACTCTCAAACTCTTTCCACGGACGTAAATATTATAGTTATCACCTGTTGGGCATAAGGTATACTGAGAAGTTAACTGGAGATGGCTGAGTCTAAGAACCCACAATTTAAATTGTCTCCCGACGATCGAGTCCTTTGGTACAGACAACTGCACGTGTTTTGTAGGTGGACATTATGAGACGTATAATACATAGAATAGGTTTTATCAAAACGGGTGCACATTTAGCAGTCATCTTGAAATGAAACTTGTGTAGGCCTGCATGATGTCTGTATAAGTTGTTTCGTTATACATAGGCTTGACATTATAACAAGTTATAGTAATTTGCGCATAGTAAAAATGGTCGAGATCAATGAGTTTCTTTTCATGTACTCAGATCATGATTATTATAAACAGCTGGCACATAATAATTGCTGTCTCTAAGTTATCTGTGGGTAGTTGGTGTTTGCTCTAGTGTGGTTTTCCTATCAAACATTTATCGTCATCATATCCCTCCTCCTTCTTTTTAGTGTTTATTACTCTCTGGTAACAACTCTAATCTTTGACATTTATATAAAGTGGTATATATATATGTATATATATATATATATATATATATATATATATATATATATATATATATATATATATATATATATACAATATATATATATATTATATATATATATATATATAATATATATATATATATATGTGTGTGTGTGTGTGTGTATATATATAATATACATTGTATATATATACATTGTATATATATTTTTTAAATGTTTTACGGCGCTCGCAACTACGTAAGGTCAGATGAGCGCGCGGGACACATTAAACATTTTCAATTTTCAGTAGGAAAGAAATTTTGAATTTTGCCCATGTGCCAGCCGAAGCCTACTCGTGTCGATTTTGGACCACTAAGGGATCTTTATCGTGCGCAGCTTTCACACGGAACCTCCGATATTGTTCGCCCTTGTCCGATCAGAAGGCTACGTGCTAGGTCTTTCCTACCACAATATCAGGGGAGCGGCTGAAAGACAGCAGTAAGAAAGAGCCAGGGAGTAGCAGAAGAAAGGTTGCAGAAAGAGCAAGAAAGAGTCAGGAGCCCAGAAGGGCAAATGAGGACTGGAGACGAGGTGCGTGGGGTGGGGGGGGGGGGGCAGAAAGTGGATGCGAAAGCAAACGACAGAACGTTGCTAGAGAGCAGGAAAGGAGGTGAAAGGAGACCATTTTTAGAGAAGACAAATTTCCGTCGCTATCCGGATTTGAATCCGGGACCTATTGAATGAGACCAGTGTGTCTTAAAAACTGTCTCTCGACATTGAACGTAGCTTCACTTTAATAAAGAACTACAGCGAATTATCAAGAAGTATCCTACAAGATAAATAAGATGACCTAATAAATGTGTTACAAGTGCCGTAAAATCAAACGCTTACTAAAACACAAGACCACCCCCACCCCTACCCCTCCAAAAATTCTTTCTTTAAATGTGTTCATAAAGTCAAAATCAAATATAGAGATATAGCCTGCTGAAAGTTATATTTTTGTAATCACAAAAAAGTAGGTTTATTCTTATTGAGCTGCATATAACTGATTGTACATGACGCCCTGCCCGGTCATTTTCACGGATGTATATCACCGGAAAAAAAGTATCTAGACGTCTATAAGTATCAATGTGACATTGCTTTGTCATGAAGTGGTACATTCGGCGTTTCAATTTAAGTGTTCATATCTCTTATCTAAAAATATAGCCTATAACCAACACATATAATTTCAGTGTTCATATCTCTTATCTAAAATATGGCCTATAACCAACACACACACACACACACACACACACACACACACACACACACACACACACACACACACACACACACACACACACACACACATATATATATATATATATATATATATATATATATATATATATATATATATATATATATATATATAATATATATATATATATATATATATACACAAAAAAAGAGGCTTGCCGTGATAGAAAGGGCTCGCCGTGACTCAGATTATAAACGATGAAGCTACCAACTTATAAACGATTATAAACGATGCATGATGACTGAAAAGTCAGTGAAATACGCATACAGAGATATATACATATATATATATATATATATATATATATATATATATATATATATATATATATATATATATATATATATATATATATATATATATATATATAAATATAAATATAATACATAGACTCAAAAGTATTCTAATCTTGTTAGTGGTGGTACCACGTATGAAACCAGGAAAATGGACTCACCAATGTGTCTTTATACGTGTACATGATTTGTGTCCTTCCGTGATGTTTTGGTTGAACGGTGCATCCTTCGTGATGAACGACGTAAGGTTAAAATATTTCGATTGCTTTCCATCCACAACAGGATGCGAAAATGTTGCTGTTTGACGTGGTCACAGTCTCTTGACAGTGAGCTTAGCTTCACTTAATAGGGAACTAAAGCGAATTTCCAAAAAGTATCCTACACGATACATTGTGCAATGAAGAACAAATAGTAGATTCTAATTTAAAACTACCTCAACTCGTTGATACAATACAAAGGTGTTTGCTTCAGTCTGATCTTTACACAAAGAACCCAAGTGAACACAATACGCTCGCAAGAGATCACTATCAGGGAACACGTTCAAAACTAATTCCAGTGTGCACACATATTCTTAGACCATTGGCATCATCAGACTAGCACGGCTTAACCATAGAGCACACAGAGAGCCAAGATGAAAAAAGGGGAGCGGGGAGGGGGGGGGAGCTAATCACGTGACAAATGCAGCCACCGAGCCTAATAGAACAATCAGATACGTGTACTTTGTGTCGGCCTTGAGCCATGCAAGATCAAGACATCAGTAATATTCAGTCTGTGGGAACTCAAGCGCTGGGGCTTAAGGGGCAAACCAATGAAATTTTATTCTCCATGATGAAAAGAACACGTGATTAGACGGGGCTATAGACACAGTAAATAATAGTGGACACTCAGACCAATCAGATCACTTTCCGAGTTATATATTATGCTTAACAAATTTTGTCTTGGGTGTTCCTTGAGTTCCCCTTTTTAAAAATCTAAATACAGTATTATGTTTTGTCCCTTAATTTTTTTGTTTTGATTTTACTCAGAGAAGAAACTTCTCAGTGAAGAAAACCAGGTGGGGCTAAAGCAGCAAGCCCCACCCCAAAAGACGCCACTGCATACATATATATGCAATGCCTTTGTGGATGTTTAAGAACAAAAATCTTTTTAGGTCACGTTTCTATAAAGCTAGGTACCAGCAGGAAACAACTTAATTAACGTCTAAAATATTGAATTATACGTACTTTATCTCTCACATTTAAATCAATTAAATTTTTTCCTCCTTTGATTACATCCTTCCATTTTACGTATTGACCCAAACTCTTGCCCCAGTGCTCCATTTGGCCTTTGATTTATTTTTAGAACTCATTGCGTTAAACTAAAACAAGCAAACAAACCCCCCCCCCCCAAACAACAACAAAGTAAAGCAAATAGGATTGAGGCGTAGGCTATATGTACAACAATTAATCAGGGTTCACACGCTAGCCTATAAGGCTGTGCTTGCAAGAACCTGTGCCCAAAACGCTGCTTCTACCATTATCTAGGCCTACAATTTAGGCCTACAATTTTTTATAGTTAAAAATATATGCCATGATTATCCCGAGATGTACGATTTTTCTTTGATACCGGTAGCACTGAATAATATGAATTAATGTACTGGATTACCAACAGAGATCGTTGCCCCCCCCCCCTCCGCCCCCAAGCATATTATATAGATCTATAAAGCGAATTTCCATTCAGACTTGATTTCATGTTGTCCAGTACTAGCCTAGGGTACTCGACTATGAACATATCCTGGAGGCAGAGAGAAACATTATTTTTTATGTATGCAGAGACTGGAGCAGGATGCTGGCTAAATTTTAGTCCGCACTGACGAACAAAATTAATTTTACAGTGCCGTGGTCGGTCTTTATAAAGAGTACCATGATTTGGGCAAAAAAAGCAATAATTTTACCTCCATTATGACATGCAGATAGCGACGAGAGTGCCGACAAACGCCATTTATACTGAAATTTGAACAGGTAGGCTGATATAATTGTTCGAAGTCTCGTTGTTTGTAAAAGTTTAATTAGATCTCTAAAGCACAAAATTAGGCACCTTTAAAATTTACAAAGAAAACATTAGCCGACTATTTATACCCCCCCCCCCATCTCTCTCTCTCTCCCTCCCTCCTTCTTTCCGCCCCTCCCAAGAATAGACCTATTATGAGATATAAAAAAATGGACCATCATCCAGTTCACGTATTCAGTCCAAAAAGGCCGAGTTCTCGCCTAAATCAAGCTCACTCTACGGTGCAACCCAGTAAGTTAGAAATAAAGAACATAATGGAACCGAGCATGAATTCTTATTTGTCTAAGTGCATTTAAACTTGATAGCTTATGAACCTGACAAGAGCAGTTGAAGTGGAAATGTTGGCTTCATAAACTAGGTGCTGTCTTCGAAAGAAAACTAGCCTTGCCTACACACATAGCCTCGCTGAAACGTTGGCCTAGGGCGAGTTCAAACTGGGAAAGAAAAAAGGGGGTGCAGACTGCATTGTGGTCCTGAGGTAAATTGGGCAACAGTTAAAATATAATAAACCACCCTAACGTATTATTTGAGTCGGCTTTTTAAAATGCATATATCCCCAAAAATTACTGGAGTTAGTTTGTTGATTAAAGAGGAAATGCTACGTCTTATAGCACATATGCTCGCATTCCCAATGGAATGGTCTATTTGTACGGCTTCATTCTCGACAAGCGAGTGTGTGGGGATGTGAAATGTTGTTTTATTTGTAAAATCAACATAAATTGACAACTACTTGATATCCACACTGTTATCCCAGGATATGGTATGTAGAGTGTACCGAATACACGTTACTATGTGCTTATATTTAATCGTTTTAACCCTGTGTCTCATCTTTTACCCGGTCTGAGTACATTCAAGAACGACGACCTAACAAAGATAGATAGCCGTGTAAATTGAACATCGATATTTAATAAATGTATGTCCGTAGACAGTCAAATCACCCCAATTATGCATAATCGTACAATATTTGCACTTTTAGTGTATTGAAAAGACATACTTTCAAAATGGGCATCTCTGTATTACTGTTATTTTGTAAAAATTAAAGGGTGATAGACGCATTGCTAGGATATCTCTGTATCTCGCCCCCCTTGCGCATAGGTTCTGCGCATAGAACAGAATAACGTGTTTCAAGTTTACTTTCTCTGACTACTGTCTTCTTTCAAATTTCTATTATTTTCCACAAAATGTTGGTATGTAAAAAGTATTATGGGTCTCAATACATTCTTCATGAGCTGAATTTACTAATTTTACACGATTCATTACAGGTAGGTTTTGTGCATTGGTTTACTTAATTAAAATGATAGGAGTCACATACTTCATTTTGTAATCTTTTTGTGCAAAATGGCTGCCCAATAATCACTACACATCATTTATGCGTCCTTTATGTTTTATGTATTTTTACGCTCACTTTATATTTGATATTCTGCATATATTCAGGGTGAGTATGTTCATATGATCCAGCTATAATGGTTAACAGCTTTTTATATTAAAAAGCAATAATGTGGAAAAGGTAAAGTTCTCACTTTGAAAATGATGTTGGGTAGGCCCTATTCTGTCTGTTCTAATCTAGATTCTAGATCTAGCTTTGTGAATTATTTAAAATGTCTTTCCAAGTTGATGACTCGGTTTACTTCAAAGATACTTGAAATTTACGCAAAAATATTCATTTTACCATGATTTTATTCCATGCAACCACTGGTCATTTAGATTTATGGAATGTTTTGTGTTTATACATACAACATACATTTCATAGGATTTTAGGCCTTGTCAAATCTTCTAGCCTAGGACCAACAAGTCATTTTTTTTCTAGCCTCAAGGACTTTTATTATGAATCATTACTTTTCTTTTCATTTGTGCTCAGTCACCTGTTTGTGTATACAATTCTGTGCCGTTGATTCGTATAGCAATTTCTTGATTGACATTATAAATTGTTTTCTTTAAAATAGTGTACAGCTGTTGATGTTACATGCATGCATGCATAGATTCTGCAAAACTGATCATATTTTATTTTTATAGATGTGGAAAGCTTCTCTTTGTTTTTTAAGCATTATTATTTATTTATTTATTTTATTGTAGATCAGGAATTTTGCTTTATGTTGCAAGGGAAGGACTTCTATTGTTATGTGTTTTGTTTGTTTTTTGTTGTATTTTTTTTTTTTTTTTTTTGTCGATGATGTTTACATTGTGATTATTATTCAACTAGTTGTAGTCACATGCAGAAGAAATGGACGATGTTACACTTTCCGGTTGCTGTCATTTGCAATTAGCTTAATCAAACTTATGTGAGGCAGTGTGGTGAAATCAGGTGCTCGTCAAAATAATCAAAGTGAAGAAACTGGCATTTTTCCGCAGGTTTGTGAATTTTTATCGAATTTTTGTTTTTTGGCTCAACACCTTTCATGCCCGTTAAAGAACACATTTCTGTGTGGATTTTACGGAAAAACGTTGATTAATGGCACAGAAAATGTAAATTTTAAGTTTTCACGGACTCTCAAGCTAAGGAAATAACTCATCTTTGGCGGCCATTTTCCCTCAAATTTTACCTCTGAAACCTGGTGACCCCCACCTCATTCATTCGCTAATATCTCGACTTCTATTCAAGATAAATGTGTAATTTTTTTCTATGAAAGGAAGACAAATGAACAAGCTTTATGATTATACCAATTACTTCACATGCCCAAAAATTGACGAGCGCCTGATTCCACCACGTCGTGCCATATCAATTTCACAATGAAATTTTTTTGCTTATTTTTAGTTTTTCAAGCGTAAATTTGGTTGGTTTTTTTATTCTCCTGATAAATTCTGTTTTAGAACAGGAATGGCTTATCATTCTAATTAACTTTTTTCGGGTGTAGTGGTATGAAATTGTTGTCCTTAAGATATATTTTTTAGAATAAGACTTAGCAAAATCATTCCACAGGCTAATTTACATAACTCTTCCCCAGAACAAGACGCAGATCTTCTGAAATTTACTTGCTCGCATGCAGGACATTTGCAGTCTGTAAATTTGTTTAAAAAGCAGCAATACTACAATGGAGGCAAATGATGTATCATACAACACTGTGGAGCTGCCTCCTTCGATTGAGATCAAAGAATCTATAGTGTGCAAAGGCTGTCCAGGTATTTTTAAAAAGTTTATTAAAAGAACTGTTTTTGATGAGTTCGACTAGAAAATTAGACCTAGTATTAAAAATGGGCTTTCAGTTATATCATATTAATGTGTCGGTGACAAATTTATTTTTTGTTACCAGCTTATTTCATGTTCTAAAGCATGAAAACATGAAATATGATTGTAAAACAAACTTTTCATATTCGTAGGTACCATTTGTCAGATAATTATCATAATAGTGCCCCCCACTTCACGCACACCCACCCACACACGTACATTTTCACCCTTACACACTCACGTGCCATACATTTAATCTTTGTTACAGAGACCCACTCCTCGTTTACACAAATCTTTTGAGCAGCAGGTTAGGGGAGCACATAACATTTTTTAAATTAGAAGGCAAAATGTCGCCAATAGAGAAAACAAAGAAGGCTTTATTTATTAAGCCCATGTCTTATTTTAAATTCATTATTTTGGCAATTGGAAAATAGATTACGTTCCCATTTTAAATTTTCATTTGAGTGTTTTAGAGAGTTGAGTGTGAAAAGTGTTTTTATGTTCTGAATTCATTATTGAAATCGCTAGATCTGCCACTCTCATACTCCAAAGATCTACAAATGGTAAATAATTTGTAATCAGATTGACTTGTTTATAAGTGAGCCTTGCTGTTCTTTTTTTAAGAAACCATAATGCTCGTATAAGTCAAAACTAGCGATCAGAAAGAGTATAGTAGTGTCTAATGGTGATGAAATGTAAACAAGAACCTGTGTTACTTTTCCACTACCCTTTCATTTTTTAGGCTTGAAGTAATTCAGCGCTCTTCTAACTAAATGTTTTTTTTGTCTAATAAAAGTCGAGGAACAATACTTACCAATGGTTGCCATATATTAAGTTTATATAGAGGACATAACAAATGTTAATATTAGTTTATCTTTTCAAACTGGAGCAAAACTCCATGGAACAGGCTGCAACGTGCGCTGCCATAGACCTTTGGGTTGTGCAGTGTCGTGTGTCGTAGAAATTGAATCCAGATGCAGCCTTTAAGAGTGTTGTAACTTCTCATGAACCTATGTCTCTATTCATTTTGAGGATAATAATCATAAGAGACGGCTTGTTATGTTGCCTTCTGGCAAAAACACTGAACATTAAAATTTGTTCTTTACTGTTAACTCAGATATAACATTAATTACTGTTTTGATTACTCAAATGTTGAACGGACCAAATTAAAATTTTTTTCTATTTGTTAATTCCTGCCTGTCTCCCCCCCCCCCCCCTCCCCAAGAACCGAATTCCCCAGTTCCTATGTATTCTTTGTATGTTAACACTCACTGATACTGCCTAGTCTTCACAGTTTATTTTATTTTCCTATGTCAGGTGCCTTCAGTAAAATACTGATAACAAAGAATACTCGATTTGGTCCTTATAAGGGGGAGATCATCACTCCTGATCAAAAGCCATTTCTGGATTACAGATATGCATGGGAGGTAAGCTACTCAATGTTAAATATCATGTGTGTATTCTTTAAATTTGAATGCATAGGGGTATGCTCAAATTTTTTACTACTTGTTTTTAGGGGTGAGTGTGATAAGGTAGCGCTTTATGTGAGGAAGACTACCCGAATTTTCAAAAAGTATGAAACAAAACGAACTTTTGAAAAACATGTTAGCTTAATTTCTACACTGAAATAGCTTTACAATGATATTCACTTTATTATAGCGAGTTGCATGCAATGGAATAATTGGTCCCTCAAAATAACTATCAACTAAAACTGATCACACAGGCAGACTTATTTCACCTCCATTTACTATAATGGTCAGCTTAAGGTTTAGGGACGTACTATCTAAAGGGATGATCACTCTAGAAGACACATGGATTTGTGGTGGTCGGTAGTGGTGGGCCAAGAATCGATCCCAGAACCGATTCCCGCGATTATTGCTTCTGAGAAAAAGAACCGATCCCTTTGTCCGTAAACTAACGATTCCCAGTTACTTTATTTTTATCTTAATTGAAAAAAAAAAAAAATTATGAAAAAAAAATGTTGGTGCTTTGTTCACGGCGGATAAAACACCGTCCAGACCGCTCACTTAGTTTTTCTTCCCCGGTTCCTCCCCGACCATCCTCACCACCCTGCCCGCCCCGCCCGACAGCCCAGCGCGTGGTCATAAATCACTTGTCAGAGTGGTTAATTGGGGTGACCGCAGCGCCACTCCTCCTGTGCCGGGGCAGTAGTAAACATGGCATTTTAGTGCGAATTGAAAGCCTCCTAACTCTGAAACTATAAATGCTACAAGGCCGATTGAGATTTCATTGTAACGTGCTATGTTTGACCTGTAAGCCGGTATAACTTGTTTTCTTGCAAGTCCGATTATATCAGTTTTACAAGGGATTTAAGTAAGTCTGTGATTTTCAAACTGGCTTCTTCAATGCTCAGAACTTTTTCAGTTTGGATTTAAATATTTCAATCCGGCCCCCAACGATTTAAACAGAAATTCATGTATCAACTGTGGTGACAATTTTTATTTACATGTGCAAGTTTCAAGTGCACTAAGTTATTCTATGATTTTCTGTGATTTTTAAAAAAATACCAACCGAGCACTCTGAACTTTCATCCTTGCTGTTTTTAGTTTTCTTACCTCTACTACATCTGATTTTCGTTGTAATTTTTTACAATATTTTTGTCATGGAGTGCCACACTCAACATGATCATAGGGTGGGCATTGTGCTGAAACATCATCGCCTTCTTGAGGAGGCTGCACATGATATAGATGTACAGCTGGCACATGATATAGATGTACAGCTGGTACATGATATAGATGTACAGCTGGCCCATCAATCTATGGAGAATTGCACGCCTGGAATAGGACAAAATGTGCATATCTACGGCAAAAAATGAAAGGGCTGAAAAAACCGAGGGGGACTTTCAATTGTTACAGGGCTGTCAGGTTTTGTCAGATAATCCACGAGAAGCAGAGAGATTTGAGAGGGAGGGTTCTAGTGTACATGATCAACTGTCAGAGTTAGAGTTTGAGGAGCTTATTCCAAAGTCAAGTCCTGCCTGCTCTGAATTTGATAACATCCTCAAACAACACAACATCACACCACATGTCTACCACAGCCGTTCATTTATAGGAAACCACTGCCATAAATACATCACAACCCATGTGTACAGACAGCTAGCATCATTTTTAACAAAAAGAACAGTTGCATATACACGAAATCAAAGCATAATAGACACCGCATTAATAATTGTTCTAAGAGAGAAATTTGTTCACCTAAAAGACACTTTCAAAGATATCCACACAATAATTGCACATGGAAAGCCAATCACTTTAGAGAGAATACCACATATTCAGTCATCAGGCATCACACGATATATGTCTTTATACAGAAACATATTTGGCAAATAAAAGGTTTTGAGTCGATAGTGCCGTAAAACATGTGCTACTCAATCAAAATCAATCAAAAGAAAAGGTCATCCCCAAACAACACATCCTTGAGGAACACTGCGTTCCTTGGATACCAAAATATGGGTTTGGAATGGCTTTCCATGGTGAGCAAGGGGGTGAGCTCATTCATACAACTGTTGTGAAGCTGGAAAGACGAGTAGCAGCCATAAAAGACAAAGAAAAACACGTCAAAACAATCATGCAGTCACAACACGTCCAAACCCACCCTAAGCTACCCTGTCGTGTGCACCACCCATCAAAAGACGAAAGCTTACAGCGGAAAAATGAGATAATTCCTCCAGTCCAGCAATATTGTGTTCTTTTTGTATTTTGTGTTTAGGTTGTTTTTCCATAAGTGTATCGGCAAGGAAAGATCTGTTCTGTAGTTACATGTATTATGGATATCGCTATGAAAGATCAAGGTCGCAAAGCAAGAGTATTGCAAAAATCTACTTCAAACCTGAATAATTACGGATCCAGAAACTTCTTGCACATCCCCCTTTGTGAGTACAAATTTCATTATGTTCTCTGTCCTGTGTGCAAATTTGATTGAATTCGTTGGGGGCAATCACATTTAAATTGATGTTAATAATTGATTACCCATGACACATTTATCAAATTAAGTCCCCTTTTTGAGAACTTCACAGCTTTTAAGTGTAATGTACCATGGTCTTCCGATTTCTTCATTTTCTTCCTTAATATGTTGAATATTTACGTGGTCTTTATTAAAATGTTCATCTTACATTAGCTTTGGCTCACTGTGCTGGTAAACTTTGCAAAAAATACGAGAGGGCTGCCGGTGTTCGGCTGATAAGGGAAATCCCCGGCGGCGCAGGTAAATGACCCTGTGACCTGGGGAAGTGCGGGCTTGCTTGCCTCGCGCCAGCCGAAACTAAATGGGCGCTCCATACCTGCCGTGTGTTATGTTCTGAAATCGAGGTTATCCTGAATTTTGAAGACTTAAAAAGAGTAATCGGGATGCAAATTCATTGTCAAACATTATATAGATCTAGTATACACAGTGTTAAAACGTATTCATTGCTTTCACCTTTTCTTCATTCATTTGTGGTTGTTTTTATATCCCTCTTCTTTCAATTCAAAATCTAAAACTAATGTTTGTCCACGAGGATCTATATCATTATAGACTCGCAACTCGGTTTAGGTCAGTGTTGGTTCTCTGACTTCACACTGTATAGATTGGGTGGGGTACCGCCCTCCCACCCCAAGTAATCAAAGGGGTCGGACTACTGTTACTCGCCGGAAGTAATTGCAGGTGTCAGACTAATAGCTACTCGCCGGAAATAATTGCAGGTGTCAAGCCTAATTGCTACTCGCCAGAAGTAATTGTTTGGGTCGGACTAATCGTTACTCGCCGGAAGTAGTTGTAGGTATCGGACTTATCGCTACTTGCCGGAAGTAATTGTTGGTGTTGGACTAATCCTTACTCGCCGGAAGTAATTGTTTGTGTCGGACTAATTGCTACTTGCCAGAAGTAATTGTTGGTGTCAGATGAATCGCTACTCGTCAGAAGAAATTGCAGGGGTAGGACTAACCACTTTTCGCAACGTGTGATTGTGATACTGGCTAGGGGTTCAAACCACTTGAAAAAATCATAGAGCCGCTTGAAGAAATCAAGCCAGTGGCTGTACTGAAAGTAATTGAGTTTGGACCCACAATTCCTAGCTTTCAATAATCGGGAATCTACTGTTACCGAAAAAAACGGGAATTGCCCACCTCTAGTGGTCCGCTACTCACTTGGCTGGGAACTGGTAACTGATGGTAGTGATAATGGGATTCAGGATTTGCTCTGCACACCAAATAGTTGCCAGAGCAATTACTTGTCCGTACCTGTTCGAAAGCAAATCCAAAATCTGTAGCTGGGTCGGTGGTGCTGACAAGCTTATAATGTTCTGCAGGATGTGATGAGATGGTAAGAGGGTGTCATGTTGTTTTGCATGGCTGTGGCATTGTGGTTTTTGGGGATGATTGATGGGATTGTGGGAAAAATGAGCTTGGCATTGTATTAGATGAACAAAGGGTGTTTGAAAAGTTTGAGAAGAGTAGTCTTTTAGTCTCTTCATCTTTTATTTTATTTTACTGCCTTGACAACATGATTTGTTTATTTCAGGGTCACCACTATTCGTTTATACTTCTCGTCCTTTTGCACTTCTAAGAAAAATTAAAAGATTATGAAATGAGTCGATATCTGCGTGGTTATTCTGTTACTCTCTTTTATCTTCATTTTCATGGCTCTGTGAACATTTTTGTTTAATTCAATAAATTAGTGTGACCTAAAAGAAGCAAAACTGATATAAAAAAAACAACAACAAACCCCTCCCAAATCTTTCCACATGACTTCTAATAGTGTAGTGAAGCCTAGATGTGACGGAAGTTTCATATCAAAACCACAACATAGCCTGATATTCTCCTCCTCCTCCTCCTTCCCCTTCCTCCTCCTTCCCTTTCCCTCCCCTTCCTTCCCCCTTCCCTCCCCCTTCCCTCCCCCTCCTCCACTGCAGGGTCTTGTTAGGGAGAAAAAAATCCAGTGCTCATTAGTTGTCCTTCAGCGCCTAGTTCAGTACATGTTTATAAATGGAGGCTTGATTTGTGCATACTTAAGGATCTGTCTCAGGTTTTTTGTTTTTTTATACCATTAATTTGAGAATAGCTGGAATTTTGCTCCTTGTCTTTCAAATTGGGAGGAAAGACTTGCGAAGCCATGTAGAACTCTGCACTTAAACATTTGAACAGTGAAGAGCATTGTGTTATTAATGTTATCTCTGTGGATTGAGTAAAAAAAATTTGCAATGTAAAAGTGAAGAAACAGAGGTCAGTGTACCTGCCAAAAGAGCTCATGATTGCAAAGGATCTTGCATTCAGCTTTAAAAAAAAAACCCAGCTTGAAACATAGATATTTATTTCCTTATGTTTCAAGAACATGTGTGTATGTTAAAGAATGCTGGAGTTTTAAAAATCGTAAACAAAAATGATTAGATGAATGTAGATTTCAAGTTTTTAATTCAGTTGTTTTGTTTTGCTGTCTTCAGGTTTTTGAAAAGAACAGCGATGACTTGAAGTTCACCATTAGTGCCGCAGATCCCCAGAGCAGCAACTGGATGAGAAATGTAAATAATGCTCGCTTCTATGAGGAGCAAAACATACTGTCTTTGCAAGATGGCTATAGCATCTTTTACATGGCCATGAAGGTAATCACTTTACGTCTTTAGATTTTAGTTTTGTCTGGATGTTAACTGAAAATTTTTTGGTCATTTTTCAAAACTTTAAATTGTTTGCTCTGTCAGCGGTTATAAAATAAGATCAGTGCAGTAGAGTTTTTTTCTTTCATTTTCATCCTTGCTGTTGGTTTAAAATGATTTGCAACTTGAATGGTAATGCTTCATTTGACAGAAAGATTTGATTATGCACTGTGCAATTTGGTGCTCTATCTAGTCTAGATTTTGATATAGTCTGGAAAAATAGTGAAGCACTATTTATAAAAATAGCACAAGCTATCCTTACATGCTCATCCTGAAGTCTGAATGTATTCTGCAGTTGTTAATTCTTCCTTGTTCTGTGTTGTTAAATAAAGAGCAATCTTGTGTGAGAGAGGCAATCTTCTCTATGTTGTTGTTGTAGGTTTTTTTGGGGTTTTTAAAAAATATATTGTGCAGTCTTGAATACATGTATCATGGTATGCTTACTAAATTCATTTGTTTTAAATATTGTAGTCTTGACAACTTGTATCATCGAATGCTTTCTAAATTGTTTTACCTAGGACATACGCCCTGGAGAGGAACTTCTCACCTGGTTTGATCCGAAATTGTTGAAGAGAACACAGAGGAGATTATCAAAAATGGAGAGGAAACCTGTGGGATATACAATTGGTGAGTGTGGTGAGATTTTTGTTTAGTTTGTAAGCCCCCTTTTGAGCTGTGGATTGTCAAAACAGTTAGAGGATAGTAGGTTTTGCACATCCATACCCTATTACAATTCATGAGTAAAAAAGCCAGTTTTTAAAATTTCTTGCTTTGTCACTGACGACAATTGCTATGACTCATTCATATGAAATCTACACTTTCACGTTGCATGTCAAAATTTAGGTCAGGTGGGCACAAATACATTGACACGACAATGGAAGGGAGACCCTCTTGCATACATGTTCCTATGACACTACATGATCAAAGGGAAGTCGTTTTGCGAAATTTCCGGTTCTATTTGACAGCAAATATACTTTGAATGTTTCAATGACACTTGAAAACTGTTTAACTGTCTTAAACTTAGTTGCACTTTGAGTAGTAACTGTTTTCAAAAGTTTCGGAGACAATCAAGATGGTTAGCAGATTGATGGATATTCGTTTGGAGTAGAACCTGTTCATGATGAAAGGAAAACTTTATAATCCCTTTTTTCCCAATATGCTTTGTTTCTGAACCCTACTTAACAATACTTACCAGATCTCACAAAGTACAAAAGATATTTTGAAGATTTAAAACACACGCTATTCAGAAATGATTTTTGTACCAGAAAATGAAATAAAACGTAATTCCTCAAAATGGGTCATATGATACATTTCACCAGGCACACACACTGAAATTATATTATGTCTGTTTTTGTAACCCCATATCATGAAGTCTTAATGTTTAATATTAAGTCTTTCGTATGTGCTTGTTCTGGCTTTATAGATTCAACTAACCGTGGATCATTAATACAGGCTCTGTGCAATCTCATCTTCAACAAAATTATTTGGAGTTTAGACTGAAAATGCACTGAATTCTTTTTAATTCCATTAATTTTCTGAATAGGCCAGTATAATGACTTTTATATGACCTTTACATGTCAGATTATATATGAAAAATTAGTCATTTAAGGTACAATGAAAAACTGTATTCAAATAAACTTTTACATGTTTACAAAAAAGTATCTGAGACAGGTTGCAAGTAACAGAGTGTATTCAACTTTTTCAAAATTATTTCTTTGGTTGCAGAGCTGGTGCCCATGGAAGATGAGAAGAAGTTCGTCCCTGAAATTATTGAAACCAAAAGATCCCGCAAGAAGAAAATTCTTAGTGACATGATAAGTTTGGAGGATGAAGGATCCTTACTGGCTCGCAAGAATTTCAACAAAGTTATGAAATTAGAAAAAGAGCTAGAGCATCAGCCTCAGCCATATTCAAAAGTGAAAAGAGATTTTTTGTCAGGACCTTCTAGTTCTTCAGAAAATACAGTGAAAAAAGATAAGAGATTCAAACAATCTAATGGTGCTGGATTAGGGCCTCAGAGAATGATTACATCGCACAGTGATGCCTATAAAAAGTCAAAAGAAGTTTTCCCCGGTCATGAGGTCATTGACGCTGAATTGGCATATGCAGAGTCTGAGGGGTCAAGCATGACCACATACTCCGGGAAAGGGAGGAGGCGAAAAGTGAGGAAAAATCTTGTCGGAATGAAGAAAAGGAGTCCGACGAAATGTAGAGGGAGAAAGCCCAAATTAATAGCTAGTGGCAAGGTAGATTTGAGTAAAGACTTTAACTTGGCGGATTCATCTGTGAAGCCAGTGCTGATCAAACAGAATACAGATGGGTCCATATCTGTGGACGACCACGACGAATCTTACACGCTCAAAGACATTGAGCTGAGCTTAGAGTGTGATGACAGCTGCCAATGTTTAGATAAAGGAAAGGCTATGGGTGAGCAGAACAGTTTGCATCATGACAATCGAGGTATATTTATTATCCACTTCATCTTATTGCCAGAGCATAAAACTGAGACGGAGGATAAGAAGATTGCCTACAAGTGTGACATCTGCGATTCAGCTTACAGACATGCATTTAGTCTGAAGCGCCACTATCTCAGCGTTCATATCAATCACAGATACCTGTCTCGAGATGATATAATCAGCTGTCAAATTGACTCTTTCTATACTGGTGTACAGCAGTCTGGCAGTGATGGCATTTTATCTTCTCAAAGTTTCTCAAAGTCGAGTCAAGAAGGGATTATTGATAATAGCAAAGAGTTGGCTTTGCCGACTCTGGTTGATTCGGTGTCTAGTGCTAGTCAGGTGACTGGAGGCTGGAGTGCTCCTTTTAGCAGTGAACCCTTTAGGAACTTGAAGGACAAGGAGAGGTTTCTTCTTTGTGATGAAACTCTTGGTGAAGAGGAGGATAACAACCGAGAGAAAACTGGTTTCGAAATCCCAAGTCTCTCACTTTTGGCCCAAGCTTGCCTCCATAGGCATCATCCAAAAAGCAAGAGAGATAGTACTCTTTCACTCGAGTGCAGAGAGTCATTAACCTCTGCTGAACTTCTGACCCCAACTGCTGCTGAACTTCAGTCAAAATCGGTCTTTTTGAAATGTGTGAATTCTTCAGACAAATATGCTGCTGTCCCTAATTTTCCCAACACAAAAAAAGGATTTTTGCCGCCTTCAAGCAGAAGTGACATTACTTTGCCTGTGCTAACTGCTACTTCTAGTCAAAATTCTGGTTCTACAAATGGTCATGGCTCTCCTCAGGGTGTTTATGGCCCTTCTGCATCCATTGCAAGTTCAGTAGTCACTGACAGTCAGGTCTCAGCAGGATGTTTGTCCTCAGTGTCCCTTACGGGGAGGGCAGATTCAGATTCTGTGGAGGAAATCCATGGAAAACAAGAGAAAGTGAGCACCGATCTTTTGACTCGGTGCACAGTGAATGTAGGTTCAAAGGTACTGATTGATTCATCTAGTGATTCCAGTAAGTGTTTCCAAAGTACAGGCTCTGACCAACTGTTAGGTGCAAAGCTAGTTCACAAGAATGAAAGTGGTAATTCAAAGACGTGCAGTTCTGATACACCGGCGGGGTCTTGTGAAATAGCAGACAAAACTTTGCATGTGAACATAGCTGTTGACAGCCAGCAAATGCAGAGTCCAATAAGCTCCGTGGAATTTCTGACAAAAGGCAAGACTGCCACCATTTGTCAAAATAGCAAAGCAGAAGAGTCTGCTTGCAGAGGTTCTGTAGAAGAAGAGGATACTCACTGCGTCAGTTCAACAACTGTGAGTGCTGATTCATTCCCGACCGAAACTATATCTGATCATACATCGACTTGTTTAGAGACTGGGAAAACTGGACGTGAAAATGTAACTGATGCTGAGAGTGAAAGTGGGTCGATTCAAGAAGTGTCTGGTGGCTGTAGAATGGAAACGGCAGAATCAGAAAATAACAATGTCAAGTCAGAGGCAGAGCCCTCTCCTCTAAAAGCTATTCCTAATGGAACTTCAGAGAATGGTGTGTGTGACACCGTGAGTACATTTAGTCCTGAGTTTAGGGCAACGTCTGATGCTGCCTCTACCATTGCCAAAGGAGGCCCAGAGGCTTCGGAAACTTTGGTGTCTAAGTCAGAAGCAGTCACTAAGGATTCAAAAGTCTCCACGGTGGAAGGGTCTGTGCAGTCTGATGTGTTAAAATTAGAAAAGGAATCCAAAACAATAGAAACTTCAAAGATGGAAGATTCCGAGTGTGTGCAATCAGAACTGCCTAAGAAGTCGGAGGTTACAAAGAGTGAAGCTAGTTCCCCTGCAGTACCTCAGTTAATTTCTTCACAGGGTACTAGCCCACAGCAGCCAGTAATCTTTGTCACCAACATTGTGTTCCCTATAGTGTCTCATGCTCAAAAGAACCTGCCTATGTCTCTACCCGTGCCAGTCTCCCCTTCATCAGCGAGCATCTCAACAGCTCCACCAACAACACTTGTCTCTCAAGCAGGACTACCCGTCGTTCTCATTTCTTCGCTTTCTCGGGGACTCAACGTTCAAAACGCGAATGCTCTTCTACAATCCCCCTCCACCCTGAAGACCCTTCAGTCTCTTCACAGCTCGTTGAACAATGTCAGCTACGGGCAGCCTGCTATTGCCATGAAACCTGATGGGGCAGCTGGTGCTGCGATAAACAGTCCTCACAGCACTGTTTCCGCCTCAGCTTCAGTTGTGGCTGTCACGACAAAACCAATCCCGTCAGTTTTAAGCAGTTACACTAATAGTGCCAGCAAAGCAGCTGCTGGCTCCACAGTCTCTTCACAAGACCCTCAGAAATCAGGTGCGGCCTCGGATGCTTCGCCAGATCTGCAGCCTCCGTCTCAGCCGTATGATCTGTACCGGTGTCACATGTGTGTTCTGGTCTTTCAGACCATGGGAGAGCTGAAGCATCACATCAAGAACGACCCTCACCGCTTCAAGGGCGGTGTGAAACAGTACTCGTGCCTCCAGTGCAGCATGAGGTTCGCCTTCAAGAACAACTTGATCAGACACAACTTGATGTACCATCAGGATGACAAAGGTATTTCTTTCTCTCTTTCCTTTTTTTTTGTTCTGTGTATTTTTTTATGTTCATTATTTGTTAAAATCGAATGGCTTCAAGTTCTTTGATGGAAGCTCTCGTATCGTCTGTGCTCAGTCTACTGTGTTTCAGAGTATCTTCCTTATCTTTTACTTTTTCTAATGGAATATGAGTATTCTCATCGTACAGACTGGCCACTGACTGACAAGTCCGCAACAATAGGTCTTTTAAAATTCGAAACAGAATTCTGAAACATTACTTGTGAGTTGTCAAGAGTGGATAAAGGTTTTGATTTAGCATAGATTAATTGAAATCTATATTGATTTGGGTTATTTTTTATATGTTAAAAAAAACAAAACTTTTTATTGCTTTTTTTTTATCACTTTAAATAGATTTCAGACCACATCCTCTCTTGACATTTGTGACATTATTCTTGGCATATGTGACATGTTAACCCAGAGTCCTGTAATAAGAGACTCTGTTAGTTCTGCTGACCCCTCGTTGGTACAGTCAGCCCTTTTCTGCTTTGTAGTTAATGCTTCTGTTGACAACAATTGGCAACAACTAAATTTGGAAAGTTTTTTTTTGAGATAGGAACTTTGCAATTGGGGTATAGTCAACGGTTACAAAAGACTTTCTTTTGGCGTTGTTTACTTTCAAATTATTTTGCTTTGGCCAATATACATAAATCTAGCTGCTACCTGGTACCACCATAATCTTTTTGCTTGGATCGGGAGAGAAAAATGGACCAAACAAGGGTCCTCAGATATACCCTGGAGCAATATGCGAACGCAGGGCTTTCTTGTTGTATCTCCATTTTTAATAACAGTAAAGACACTTCATAAGAAAGAGTGAGTTTAAGATGTCACATTTTCAGTGTAAAAAAATGGAGATGCGACAAGAAAGCACTGAGGTTGAGAATAGTTAATATTCTTTTAAAAAAAGAAACTGCTTCTCTTCATCCAAGACTTTTTTAAACGAGTATATTTACTCATTCATGTGGAATATTTGAACATCATATTTATAGCATAGTTTTGACTTAAGTTACTGAAGCTGTTAGACATTTTGTTTTAAGGGTGTGTCCAAATATTTTCTGTTGCTAATATTTTCTCTTAAATGAAAAAGGGGAAAAGTTGTGTATTATTTTTGCATTTTGTTTAACTTAAGTTGCTGAATATTTATATGATTTTCTTTCTTGTCTTGCGCAGATCTGAAACATCGCTGTCTGACCTGCGGCAAGGGATTCACCACAGAAACCTATTTGAAGATGCACGCCAGGTTTCACTCAGGGAAAAACTTTCCATGCAAATATGGCTGTGTGAACGTAGTGTTCCCAAACGCTGCCAGTCTGGTGAAACATTTGAGAACAGAGCATGCTGGGCTGGATCGCCAGGAATTCCTCAAAAATGCGAAGGCTGAGAGAGCCCGCAGGAAAAAGCTAAGTCGGCTTTTTGGTCTCACTGAAGATGAGATCTCCAAGTTTGCCCCAGAGAATCTGACACTGGGCAAGGCAGAGCTACCAAAATGGAAGCCACCGAATGTGTTGAATATTACACCTAACACTGTGTCCACATACAGCATGGATAGGCCAGGTGTTGGCTTTCAGGCCAAGCGGGGTCGACCGAAGGGTTCCAAAAATGCTGTCAAACTGGTGAAGTCAGAACCAGAAATGCCAAAGTTAGAAAGGCAGGATATTGTCTCAAGCACTGAGGTGAGATTCCCTGCTGTGGAGGCGCCAAGAATTGTCGTGAAGAAGAAGCTGTTGATCCGGTTCCGGTGCAAAATTTGCCACAAAGGCTTCACAACTCACATGGGACTGCTACAGCACCGCAGCTCCAGGCATGGGGCAGATCAGTCGGTTCAGGAGTACTTGTATGAAATGTCAAAGGCCGCTGGGGAAGAAGATCCCACTTCTGATGAGTGTGAGGACATGAACTTTTCTCCCCCTCCATCGCCCAAGTCTTTCTACGCGAATGTGAACAAGAAAGGTTCAGAAAACATAAGGAGGTTCATTGATGGAGGGTTAGAGGCCTTGAAGCAGTGGAAGAAACATATTCAAGTCGAGGATTACTTACCATGGACTGAAGATCTTAAGTGGAAATGGGATCCGGAGTCGCATGACTGGACTCGGTTTAACTTCCCCCCCTGCTTTGAGTTAAAAGAGGATTATGTCAAGTTTTATAATGTTGGTGAGAGTCTCACAGATGTCTCTTTAAAACCAGGAATGACAAATGAGAGCAGTCTACCTCAGATTAAGCAAGAACCGTTGACCAATTTTGAAGGAGAAGACAATCAAGTGGGGAGTGACATTATTGTAAGGAAATCTGGGGAAGAGGCTCAGGGTGGAATGCTTTCTACTATCAGTGGTGATTCGATCGAGAGTGAGTGCAAAGCTGCCTTGGACCTCATTTGTTCAAGCATTGAGCAACAGACCAAAGATGTTGATGTGAATTCTGATGGACTAAAACGGGTAGGGAACGATAATACTTTAGTTCAAGGGAGTAGTGATGGAGTGAAAGATCAAAAAGCAACTTGTGCTCTATTGCACGAAAGTTCAAGTGTCAGTATTGTGTCCGGTGCCTCAGAAAGTGGGATCAACCCACTGCTCCCCCAGTCAGATGAAATGTGCAAGAAAGAATCACGAACAGATTTGTCTGCAATGGAACTTGAAACTGGTCAGCAAGATGCCACAGTCTTGTCTGTAAATACTTCTAATGGAGAAGGAGGAGGTGTGGTAAAAAGTGATGAGAACAGGCAGACCCTTGAAACTACTAGTCTTAGCTGGATGGCCAACGTGTGCTGTGATTCTGCTAGTTTGTCCTCGGCAGCAGACAGTGGTGTCGGGTCGTTGTCATCGAGTGCCTCAGGCAGTCTAAGCTCGTGTGATGCCCTACTCACTACTGTATGCGGCAGGACAGAGGACCAATCAGTAAGTGTTGGGACAAACAACGCCAAAGATTCTACAAGCCGTTGTGATAGTGTAAAGACAAATGAGGGCAAAACTGGATGTTCTGTGACTGAAGCCCACGAAACCACCTCCAGACATAGTGGGTCTGTAACCACAAACAACGCCATGACTCCTACTAAACCTAACCTGACACTATTAAGGGAATTGAAAGTAAAAGAAATGTATCAGATCTTGTCTAGTGCACATATTCAGGCTTTGTGTCTTGAGCTAGGAACCTGTGCCTTAAATTCCAGTCGAGGTCATAAGACATCCACAAGTTTACCACTGGAAGCTTTAAACCTATGCAGTAAGGATAACGACACTCACAAAGAAAAGCACATCAACTTTCCAGATTTGAGAGCTTTTACCGAGGTAAGCCGCAGGGTACGTAGGTCATGTTCCTTCTCCTCGGCTGGTCATGGCTCTCCACACAAGAGGTCACGCAGGTCTCTCGACCAGTCCCCTGAGCTGCAGCTGAACAACCCCGACTCGACGCGGCACCACGAGCACAGACGGTACTCCATCTGGAGTGGTACATCTCAACACAAAAGCCACGGCCCGTCCGTTGGCGTCCACTGCTGCCCGGTGGTGGAAAGGGTGAAGAAGCAGGAGAGCATGAGGAGAGCTCGGGAGTATGAAAACAACAAATCTCGGCGGATTGCGGAATCCCTACCCAAACTACATGAGAGGGACAAAGACAAGAGTGCCTTTTTGGAGCTGAGCGGGCTAGTGCGACGGCAGGAGTACGAGTTGTCCCCTCACGCGAGAGGGAAGGAGCAGCACTGTATCACTCCGCCTGAGATATGGGACATTTATCAGAAAATCTGGTTTGGCAAGAAAGGAGCCATCACAGTAGTGTGTTCAATTTGTCACCGGCACTTCAGTTGCCTGGAGCTGTGTTTGAGACATCAGCTGAAGAAGCATCCTCATATCGAACCCCACTCCCTGGAGATGGAGAAGGACAACTATGTGGAGGATATGTTCTATTACTACCCAACACCCTATGGTATCCTGGCTAAGAGTCAGCTGATCCCAGACAACATGCCTGCTCCAGAGATCTATGTGTGCACCAGGTGCACTTTTCCCTTCAAGAATCTAAGTCGACTACATGCCCACATGATTGTGTGCGACCCAGCACACGATGAGGTGGCTCAGGGGCTTGGTCATCCCAAGCCTTCGTTTATGAAGGGCAAACTGCTTCCCATGATGGACAGAAGGTTGAACCAAGATTCTGTCCCACCACCACGCCCAAAGTTGGGAAGACCTCTGAAGAATAAACACCCAACAGCGACTGTCAGCCGAGCCATCTCCGATGAAGGGAAAAATGCGACTGCTTATGTGCAGCGAAGTAACTCTGTACCCTCAGTGCCGTATGAAAAAGAAGCTCAGGCCCAGAAGTCGACGGCTAGGAGCACACTGGCACGTTCACAGAGCTCTCTGTATTTCCCGGTGAAGAAGCGCAAAAACTATGAGATGATGTACAACCCCAAGAAGCACGTGCGCCGCCGAGAGCTGTATCAGGTGCTGGAGCAGCACCAGTGCCACGGCTGCAACCTCAAGTTCAACTCGCTACCCATGCTGGAGCGACACGTGAAGAAATGCAGCGGGCGGGACAAGCTGCAGAGCCAGAAGCCACTGCTGAGTGGGATCATCCCGGACGACGCGGCTGTGAGAAAACAGCACACATGCCGCTACTGTAACAAGAGGTTCACCTACATCAAAGGTGTGGACTTGCACTACAAGAGGGTGTGCGCCGTGCGCAAGCTGAGGGAGGAGGAGAATAAGCTGACTGCGGAGGATTTGGCACACGAGGACGAGCTGCAGAGGATCATTGAGCACATGAAGTGGAGCAAGACCCTGAACAAAGATAGCAGCGACATCATTCAAGGTCATGTGCGGGTCGAGGAGGATGGTACGCTGACACGTGTTGTCAAGAAACGGGGCTGGCCCCGGGGACTGAAGAAGAAGGTGAAGAAGAAAGGTTACAAGTGGACCACTCTGAAACGACATCGTTCGGATGAAGAGCTGCAGAATGATGATGAAAAGCCTGCAATAACATTGGATGAGCCTCAGAAGGAAGATACTGACAACTCCACTAGAAGGACGAGAAAGCAAAACAGCAGCGGGAGCAAGGAGACCGCCAAACAAGATGGAAGTAAGTCTAATAGGAGTATTGCCCAAGATGATGCAACGTCTTCTAGAATTGGAAAACCAAATTTGCGGTCCGTGTCTGCAAGTTCGGATAAAAAAACTACTGCCCAATCAAAGGAACCAGAAGTAGTGAAACCTGTTGCAAAACGTGGACGACCCAGAAAGAAGCCGTTACCACAAACAGAAGTTCCCGTTACCACGAAATTGGCGAGAACCAAGTCTCCTGTAAACAGAGCAGCCAAACTTATTCCGGAGAAGACAAATGTGAAGAAAGCTGTCAAGGTCCCGGTGATCCCTGAGGTGGTGAAGCCACCTCCAAGAAAACGAGGAAGGCCCAAGAAGTTTGATCCCAGTGATATGGAATCGAGTTACAAAAAGAAACGGAAGTCAGACCCTGGCTATGTACCATCGAAGAAAGATCTGAAGTCTGGCAGGGAGACTGATGTTGCTTCTCCCACTGCGGCCCAGTCGGAACAGGACTCAAATGAAGTTGGCGACCAAAAGTGGTCAGAGAACTCCCCACCTGCACGTTCAGGTGAGAAAGGAAAAATGAGTATAGCTGATGCCTCTGGTAGCTCAACAAACATAAAAGGAAAGCCAGTAAGTGTCAGCAGTAAAGACCTTGGGAAGCAAAAAGGTGACGGAGATGAGAGAGGAGAGGATGTAGAGGAAGTATTGGCTTCTTCTGACCGGCAAGGATCCTGTGGGTCCTTCAGTCAGAAAGTGGGAAGTGGAAGTGGGTGTAAACAAACACCGTTGTCTGCTCGGAGCAAAAGTCAGACTGGAGCCTCTGGCAGTTCTTGCAGTCAGTCAGAACTGTTCAAGCACCTGACTGACGTGGAAGAAGGAAAGGGAAAAGGAAAAAGTCTGGTGTCCATAGAATCTAGTAAAGATGGGCTGTCCAGAATAAGCAAAGAAAGAGAAAAATCCAAAAGTTTTTCTACAGATAAGCAGCGAATGGACAGGCCATTCAAGTCAAAAAGTCCTCCCACTGTTACGCCCATGAACAAGGGATTGGTGAATAAGTTCAAGTCAACTCCAATGAATGTCATCCAACAAAAGAATTCAGTTTCAAAGCTAAGAGATGTCCCCACTTCTTTGTCCAAGGGAAAGATTTCACATTCAGAAGTGAGTGATAAAGTTGGCAAAGTGGCGATGGCCTCACACTTGAATCAATCAGCGCTGTCACACATAAAAAAGAGACCGTCCGCAGATCCATGTGGTGGTACCATGACAAAAAAGAAACAAGATGTACATACTGTCCCTGTTTTCAAATCCATTCCAAAATTTCCCTCTACTTCTACAAGTAAACCTTCATTGTCAAAGTCTCCTACATCCTTGTCGTCCATGGACAATGGGGCCAGCAGTCCTGCAAGCGCCTCAACGCTGAAGGCATCTATTCCATCTAGAACATCCCCTGTCAAGACTTTATCAGCAAAACCTTCCCCATCTCCCCTGCCCACAGTTGTGAATAAGCCTCCTGTGTCTGTCCGAGTGGTCACCCTGTCTCCCAATGGCAACAATTTGTTGACGTATGATGAAATACCCAAAGTGTCCGTGACATCACAGCAGCCACTGACCTCACCGGACAAGCTTAGCTCACCTAATAAGCTGATGACCCCAATATTAACCACTCTCCCTAAAGGCAGAGTGCAGACTTCAGGAAGTTCGGTCATACAGGCAGTGTCTCAGATGCCACAAAAAGTTACCGTTGGTCCAAAGCCACCAATGTCGACCTTGAACAAAGTCCCACTGAGTTGTATTGGTTTACAGCAGCAACAAGGTGCTACTTTGAACCCCCACAATAAGCTACTCAAGCCTGCAGACGGAATGTCCACATTTGTCACTGTGAGCAGCTCAACAAAGGGGGGCCTTACACAAATCTCAGACCAACCTCTAGGCCTTGGGGGAAAGCCTATAGTTACCCAGCCTGGCCAGGAATCTGCTGTAGTCCAAGGCTCTGAACTAACCAAGGCCGCTGTGGGAACGGGCACACAGATGGCAGCTGTGACCTCCCTACCCGTAGTGACGGTGGCAATGGGCGGTCAGTCTCCGGGCACCATCAGTAGGCTAGCAGTTCCGCCTGGAGCTAACAGTACTGGGAAGCTGGCTCGAGGAACCATAGTCCCGGGCGTCATCTCCAGCAGCATGATTCAGTCTGGTACCAGAGTGGTCAAGGTGGGCAATGTGTTGACCACCAGCCCCATCAGGGGAAACCAACCGCAGCTTGATATGAACCCAGCCGGTCCCCGACTCCCCGCGTCTCGATTCATCCCTGCTGTGGTCACACCCAAACCCATCATTGTGAGCACATCTCAGCCTATGCGAAAAGTCTCGCCGCAAATGGTGCGCCTTCCCAGAGCTGTGGTGCCGCAGACTATGGCCAAAGTCTCGGTCGTGCCTCAGGGCGTGGTCCAGAGACATCTGGTGTACCAGCCGCAAGGACATGCCGGGATCTCTGTGGGCGCTTCTGCCGGCGCGGCCACTCTCCTAGCTCAGCAGCCTGCCAATGTCCAGACCTGCAACAACCCGGCAGAGCAAACCCAACCGCAGTCAGGTGTGAGCAAAATTCTCACCCTGTCTGGTCAGACGAGACCCACCACATTCCAGCCGACTAACCAGGACAGGCCTGGAGGTATGACCAGCACTTCTACCAACATGCATCATGGAATCACTAGCAGTGGTGTTCTAACCATCCTGCCTCAAGGTGCCGGCAACAATCAGAAACTTGTGGCCCTCTCCACAGAGCCTGCAGCAGCAGCATCAGCCAAAACCGCAGCAACTGTGTCCCCACAGCAGGCTGCTGTACCAGGCAAACAGATCATGTTCAGTCTGGAGGACGGGACGACGGGGATGCTCGACCCCGACTCCTTGGTGCAGTTCCTCTCCATGGCCCCCTCTCTGAGCCAGAGTGGCTTGGAGGCGGTGAACCAGGGTCCACAGGCTGCGGCTGCCGGCGTGGTGCTGAGCCCTGAGCACCGGATGGTCAACATGTCCCAGATACAGCCACCCAGACAACTGGAAGAGATCACCTGGCCGCAGCAGGGCTCGGTGGACCTCACAGATCTCCCTGACAGCACCTGCGACCTTTGAACTCATAATCCATGACATTTATTTACTGTTACAGTGTTGTGTCCTACCCACATGGACCTCAGCTCTTGCCATTGTCCCTTCATGTACATACTGACATGCTATGGAATTTAAAACTTAACCATTTATGGGAGAAGAAGTGGGCTGTTGGAAGTGGAGCTAAGTGCCAAAGTGACAATTTGGAAAGAAAATTAGATATAATGGTGTCATTGGAATCCTCAGCTCATATTTGATTCAAATAAAACATGGACAATGCAGGAAAACACTGAGTGTGGGGGGAAAAATGTTAGGGGTCTGTTTTTAATTTGCCTGTGCAATGTCTAAAATGGAGTTGAATTAAGAGGGTTCTTCACTCTACTTTAGCGATAAACTTCCTTGCAGAACTAAACCCCCATCAAGTTTTGTGACAAAAATATTGAGAATTATTCTTGAGGTCTTCATAAGGATGAGTTGGGCCTTTATCAATTGGTCGTATATTTCTTGGCACACAGTGTTTTCTTCTTGTCTGCCTTTTCCACGACTGGTAAACGTGTACTTTTTAACTCGGATGATTGTTTATGCTTTGGTCTTGTCTGCTACTTCTGTTTCTTTTCAGTGTTGCCGGTATTTGAGTGTTGCTGCAGTTCTAAACCAGTATTGTGCAGACTATCATAAACCGCAATATAAGGAAACATATCAGAAAGCAACACAAACTCCCATAGAATATTTCTTGTCATCAAGTGTCGCAGTGAAACTTTATTACATATTGATGCAGGTCATTCTTGAGAAGCATTCAGGCACCTATGTATCTTGTAGTTTTGCATTCAGTTACATTGATCTACAAAGAGCTCAGAAAAAGAACAGATATTGAGAAATCTCTTTTTTTTTTACCATATGTTACAAAGCATTTCCATTGTGCGTAGAAAATCATCAGATGACAGTTATTAAGCCTTCTTTCATAATGGGGTTCTTTAAATTCATTGGATATAGTTGGACACTCCGCATTTTTCCAACAGGGAGACTTGTAGATATACTAGTCTGTTGAACAAAGTAAGCCATCGCAAAATGAACACCTTTTTTGTAATAGGGATAGTGCTGACTTTTTCAAATAAACCCTAGAATATCGTACTCTATTGTGTACTACATGTGCGCCTGCTTTAATGGTGCCTGTGTATATGACAATCACCTGTACAAACTGCCACTTCCCATCTCCCCCCCCCCCCCCCCCCCCCTTGATTTTGTTTGCACTTTGTCACGGCTCTTATGTGAGACGTCCTCCTGTCTCAGACAACCACTTTTGTCTACCATGAATGGGTGGCTGTTATAGACAGTTTTGTCTGTACTTTGTTTTCAGTTGGATTTGGAAATGGTGCTAAGCTTGTTGTTCACTTGAAAGTTTGGACAGATTTTCCTCTTTGTTTGGTATTTTCTTTTTGTGCAGCTCTGAGTTTAGTTGTCACTAATTGAGACTGGATGCTGTAGATAATGTACATAAATATGTGTATATGTACATACATACATGTTAAGGTCTGAAAAGGTCTTTGTTAAAACTTTAGGAAAGTCATTTGTACTCATGTATGTACTTACTTACTTTCTCTATCCTTTTTCATTGTATAAGAATTACAACCTTCCAGTTTCTTCAAAGATTATTGCATTTTGAAAATAGTCTCTGTGTGTGTGTGTGTGTGTGTGTCTGTGTGTGCATTAATGTATATTGCTGCTGCTTGAGAAGAAAGGAAGTAGTAAGAAAGGTTTTTGAAAAATGGGTATTCCAATGTTAAGCGCATTGAGCTACTTTTTTTGGAAATGCGCTATATAAATGTTATATATTATTATTATTATTATTATTATTTATTTGCCATGCTATTCATCTGTCTGATTTGTGTGCTGAAGGGCCTACCCACAAATAACACTGTTAGGAATTGTTCTTATCTGACATAACTTTATTATAAATTGCTTTTTTGATCTGTTCTAAGACACATATTATCTTCATTACATTGATGTAAAACTGTAATGAAGTCTGTTTTCATGAAAAGATTACCAAAAACTTTTTGGAGTAAGTTTAACTTGTACAGTATTATTCCCAGGGGGCACTTTCTGACTCAGTGCTTTGCAGAGGAAAGGCTTAAAGTTTGTTCCATCGTGAAATAAATCGTAGTTGTAGAAGGGTACTACTACAGTCGACTATGGATGAGTATAAACAGTGGGAATAGTAAAGAAGAGGTTCTGGGACCCGAGAAAAGGATGACTTAAAACTGAAGATCAAGTCAAGCTAGTTTGACAGGAGCGGAGTTGACAGTAGTATTATTATAACTTTTTTAAACTAGTGTTGGATTTCTGGAATGTCAAATTGTAAATGTATATATCTCATATGTGTTCCCTTTGTCTTTTGACACATGTCCTCATTGTCAAGGACTCCGGAACAAAGAATCAAAACCTGTCAGCACTGGTCAAAGAATAACATTGGGATCTTGTCATGGATTTTTGTTTTGTATAAAGTGAGAACTTGTGAGTTTTTGTTTCACACAGTCTACACCATTACTCTAATATTGTGCTTTATTTGTATTCCAAGGGTTGTTTTTTTTTTCAATTCTCTGCACAATTTCGACAAGAAAGGCAGGCAAAAGGGTGGGTATGTCAAACCCAAATACGAACAATTGGATCAATGAGTGTTGACCACATAATATGCTGTTCTTTTTTTTCTCTTTTTTCTGAGTATTGATTTTATTGCTTTTCTTTGAAGCATATAAGGCTAATGCTGATATATATATATATGTATATATATATATATATGTATGTATATGAATTTTCTGAAGTCAATGGCTGGAAACAAGACTTCACCAAGTAGCATTTTGCAATTTGGCATTTTTGGGAGTCTTGTATCCGTCCATTGATGAAGTTACCTTTGATTGCACTGGGCTTCAGGTTTGCACAGGACTGCAGAATGTTTTTCAGTTTGTGTTGCCCCCTTCCCCCAGTACAAACAAAAATGATCATCCCATTATTTTGTCGGCCGAGAGCTAGAGGTGGACTTGGCCTTTTGTAAGAAGAGATGGACTTTTATCGCAAGGTGGATACAGAATTTATCATCATGTATACATGTATAAAGTTCTAAGATGTAGCCACATTGGTTGTTACAATTTAGGAAAAACTACTAGATGGACTGATTTGATGTTTACAGACATGACAGGGTGTCATATGACTACCTCAGTTTTGCTATAAATGGCATTTCTGCCAAATCGAACATGACCACTTCTGGCTCTATTCTCAGTCGACGTTATTCATTTCTTTTTTTCTGAGTTTTCATTTCAATGTTACTTTTAAAGATCGTATTATTACGAAATCAGCACCTTTCAACTTTAATTGTACCCCCCTATTTTGTTTTTGTTTTTTTTGTTTGTTTTGTGATGCTCCTTCAACAAATAGTTTGTGACTGGACCAATTTAATCATTTGCTCTCGCAGCTATAAATTTATTCTGTATTTGTTGATTCTGACATTTGTTAAATGTCTGATTAAGTTGTTTGCTTTTCTTTATGCATTTAAATTTTAAAATATGTGCAGGGCTATGTATTTTTTGTACTGGAACAGAGATGGAAATTGTGCTATCTGAATCTGAACAGTTTGGAGCGAATGAGCAACACACTGATGTGCAGTGGCTCATTTCATTTACTTTTGCAAATGTTCATGCAATCAGCAGAATTATAAAAATAATTTTTTGTTGATATAACAAAGTGTTTTGTTTTGAATTTCACTTCAGTTATTCATGTGTACTGTGTCACGACACGGTGGAATCAGTCGCTCGTCAAATTTTGGGCATGTGGAGTTATTGAAAGATCTATATATAGCTAAATGCTTGTTCATTCTTCTTGCCTTCAATGAAATAAAAAAGCCATCTATCTTGAATAGAATTTGAGATATTCGCGATTGAAGGAGGATGGGATGTGGGTGGTTGGCGGGTGCTCTGCTGTGGTTTGCTTCTTCTTTCCTATCAAAAGTCTATCATCTTTATCTCCCCTCCTTCTTTTTTGTGTTTGTTACTCTCTTGTAACACCTGTAATCTTCGGCAATTATATGACCTTATTGTGTTGCAAGTGCCGTAAGACTCTTACTAAAAAAAAGGAGGATGGGGTCACTCGGTTTCTTCAGGGGTAAAATTAGAGAGAAAATGGCCATCATCAAGTTTGGTGAAATCCATAGCAATTGCTGGAGAGTATTTGGAAACTGAAATTTTACATTTTGTGTGCCTTTCAGTGAAATACACACAGAAATGTGATTTTTGTCTGGACGGAAAAGATGTTAAGCAAAAAAGAAAAAAAATCTTTAAAAATTGCCGAACCGGCGGAAAAATGACGATTTCTTAGATTAAATTTCATAATTTTGACAAGTGCCCGATTTCACCACAATTGTTTACATCTTGTGTATTAGCTGTCCTGTTAGATAACTCAGTGGCCGAGTGGGTCATCGTCTCTGTCCACCATGATGATCTAGTGTTTAGTGTTTTAGCGCCTATAAATGGCTGCTTGCACTGTATGCTTCCTAGGAAGTTGAGGTTGTTTCAGAATGCTCTCAGGTCTGCTGGGTAATAGTATAGACAAGAGCATAGAGTAGAGCTTTCTGTCGAGTGGGGATTTGCGCTATACAAATATCTATTATTACTTGTATTATTATTATTATCTGTTAATGCAGATGATGCCTGGATGATGATCTATGGATTATTACATCGGCAAGTCCCAGAGCTTTATATTTATTTTCATCGCAGATGGTTCGAGTTTCATAACAGAAGGAGGCCCCCTTCACAAATAGCTCCCACCCCCCGCCTTCCCGTTTCCCTGTTTTGCCAAAGAGCAAGCCACTTATTATTATTATTAAAGTCAGTCTCTTCGTAAAACTTAGAGCTTGACAAAAAAGATGTTTGAGGGCTCCAAAACTATGGACAAAGCTTTCGTAGTGCAGCCAAGGTGGACTTCTTTTTACCTAAGGGTTGTCATTTTTTCCTCAAGCTAAACGACGACTGGCTGGTCATCTGAACCTGTCCATTTGCTATGTGTCCCATCCTCAGTATGGATGTCTGTGGTGTAGCAGGCAGGTGCTACCACCCACCCACCCCGGGGCGGTGCCACTGACTGAAGTGTCTTTAGGCCATTCCCAAAGAGGGGACATTTCTCGTTCTAATGCACAGTAGAATTGTAAATGGGCTGGTCCAACTGTCATGCTCATAACTGTGCCTGAACTACAACAGGGAACTGCTGCTTTCTCTTTCCTAATCCTTACTATCATCATTGTCCTCTACTTCTTTTGTATTTTGTCACACTCTTGTGACCCACTCTTTCCGGGGGTGCCTTGATAGTCGAAGCAGATTTTGTACTGTTGAAGCTAGAGAGGTGAGCAGAGTAAGTCTGATTCCGTAAGGACTTCTCTGGTGACATCCACCCCTTGGCGATGACCTAATGCAGTTGCGAGCGCCAAAAAACCTCCACTAAAACTTAAAAGCAGGTGCTTCACTGTCGCATGTAGAAGAGTTTGATTCCAAAGTGGGGAGAATTTTTATTGAGTATCTCAGTCTTTCTGCTGGGATGTTGCACCCCTCTCAACCTGGGTTGATCTGAATTGTATCGATGGGTGGGTGAAAAAATACCTACTAATTAATTAAAACTAAAACATTTTCAGGGTGAGCTAAATTTTGCTGTTCTCAGAAAAGATCACGACCAGAAAATTTAAAAATACATTCCAAGACTACCTAAAGGAGCGACCAAAAGATTTTAAAATTTGGTTTCTCGTCTTATTTCAAGAAATTTATACAACTTGACGGTCTTTCATTCAGCCCATTGACTTTTCTTGCTCGGCTAAACCAAAATTTATATCTGATGAAGACCAATGTGACCTACAAGTATGACTTGTACGTTCAATAAGTATTGGTATGTAATAAAACCTCCTACAACTTAACCAATTCCTTCCAACACCAAAGACGTTTGAACTGACAAAACAACATCTAACAAACTAAACACTTGTATTGTATGGGATGAAATTTATTTTACAGTGACATCAATGTAATAACAGAAAACCACATATATACAAATCATAGCACTGGGAACAGCACACTTTACAATTATTCCCACTGTGTACTGGTCTTAACAATCATACATCCTTCAAAGTGGTTCTCACAGGTAAAAAAAAACAAAGTCCTACACAAACCATAAAAACATTTTCATTAACTCACAATGTGAAGGAATAAACCGCACAGCTTACTCAAACAACTGCGATATATCATTGTACGGGGCCCGTTCATTGTACGTTCTTGCACCCATGACGCAGCTAATTTTTTAGCCTAAAACTAAAACTTACACATTCATGCCAAACAAAACTAAGAGTCAGTTGCTTTTTCAAAATTTCAGGCAGTCATCATGTCCTATCTGATAGTACTCTCATTCCTTCTGGGTTGGGGAAGCAACTAATGAAATATTTCACCAGAGTTGTCAGCCTCAGCATGGGCAGGCTTGGCCTTCTGAACACACAAATAGTGCCTTCCAAGTGCCAACAGGACCTTCGAGGTCTACCTTACTATCCAAGACAATAAAGCTCTTACTCCCAGCTACACTGTGATCTGGGGTGGGAAAGTCGCAGGGGAAGAGGCAGAAGTTATCCTCTGACCACGTCTGCTGGAACAGGGAACTGAACCAGGCACTTTGGCAAAAGAGGCAAGCATTTCACCTCTAAGACTACCAGTAATGTTATGATGAGAGAGAACAAAGAATGCAAACCCACGGGGTGCAAACTACACTGGCTGTACATGATATTAATTGAAAATTTTGAGAGCCTTACTTAATGTTTTACTTCCATTTTTCTCAGCCATAAACTTCCCACAGATCTAGCTCTAGTAAGTTTATTACTAAAACATTAATGGCTGCACTCAAAAGGTCCACTTTGCGACTTGTGGACAGCCGCTGCTGCCTGACAAAAACAACAAAACAACCACAAACAAACACACACACTAGTACTCCATATTGCCCTGGTTACCCCCACCGCCGAATCGGGGAGGAGGGGGCCTCATTCCTGGAGGCGGACCTCTCATCCCTCGTGGTGGCATCGGCCCTCGGGGCCCGTTCATTGGTCCGTTCATCGGACCTCGCATAGGTGGGGGCCCTCTGCTGCCAGGGGGACCTGAAAAAAAAGAGTTGTTGCGATGTTGTTATGATTCATGGCCAGCCAGTACAAGGTTAAATTCGAGAGAAAATGGCCATCACAGTTTGGTTATTTCCATAGCTTGAGAGCCCATAGTAACTGAACTTACATTTTTTGGGCCTTTAATCAACGTTTTTCAGTAAAATCGACACAGAAATGTATTTTTGAATGACTTAATAGATGTTGAACCCTCATAAAAATTTCAAACATTATATAAAATAGAAAAACAGGCGGGAAAATACCAGCTTCTCTTCAATTTAATTATTTTGACGAGCGCCTGATTTCACCACTGACAAACTGACACAACACACACACAACTACAAAAATCTTTTGCTCTCTCTTACAAAACTATACAGCCTCTCTATAACGACATCCTCTGAATAGCGACACGGTGCCCAGGTCCCAAATTTTTCCTTATATATCATTAGTAATTTTTGGTAGCCTCTCTTTTACGACAACTCTCTATAACAACATTTTTTTTGGGTCCCGACGATGTTGTTATAGAGAAGCTACACTGTAGTTCCGACACAACTTACCGAATCCCATAGGAGGTCCTCTGGGCGGCATAGGTCCCCTCCAGCCCGGGGGTGGCGGCCTCATGCCAGGAGGAGGGCCTGGAGGTCCGTGATGACCCGGGGGTCCCGGCGGAGGTCCTTGAGGACCGGGGGGACCAAAGTTCATGTTGTTCATCTGGTTGGGCGGGGGCGGCATCTGGTTCATGCCCTGCATACCTCCACCCTGGCCTGAGGACAGTTCAACGAGAAAGCCATGGCAATGAGATAACAGAAAACAAGACTTACCTAAGTTTAGCACCCTCTTTGAAGACAACTTTTACATCATTCACCAAAAAGATATGACCGAGGTATCACAACCATCTCTTGTAGGACAAGATGGTAAGCCTTAAAATTTTCAGCTCTCTCATGACAGATTTCATTATTGAAATTTTTTCTGCAAAATGGATCTGGAACCAGGATTTCTTTCAAGTTAAGTTGTCCACAAAACATAGTAGTAACCTCATCCTTTCTTCAATAAACCAAATTTAAAAAATAAAGGGAGTGCTTATTTAGACCACATATGGCCTAAATAAGGTAAGGGAGGGGGGTTAGCTTATTTAGGCCACACATGCTCAAACTACCAGGGGATACCCTTTTCAGGCAACTGAGTTTGTTCCACTTTCATAATGGTGCACCTTTCTCATTTAGTAGTTTTGTCTCAGTGTACAACTTATATATAATCATAACGAATATTGTAAGAACAAAGCATGATACGCAAAATTTTGCTCAATCCCATTGGTTTGAATGAGGGCCAGATTTTTCTTTCATGGAGGGGCAGAATCTAGGCTACCATTTTGGCACACTTTGGTCAAGTGAAAAGGTCAAATCCTCCGAATGGACTTCCGGGTCAAATTTGGGGTATAAAAAGTGTGTACACAACGTGGCTGAGATAAAAATTAACTATAGATCTTTGCCTGGGTGGCACTCTCTCATACTGTCTCGTAGTAGTACATGTAGATCTAGTAGTAGTAGAAGTAGCACGAAATCTTTGGTAGTAGATTCTATCTAGTAGGCAGTTTAGTGAACGTGCACGCAGCAGGGCGAATCGGCCTTGATAAGCCCCGTTGCTTCGGTATCGCATTATTCAACTATTAATACATGCGGCTATGGCAATTGGGATGTACTGACTGACAAAGCTATTCACAGTTTTGTGTTTATTTTACCATATATTTGACTTTAATAGTGCAGGTGATAGCTAGATCTAGATTCCCTGTCTAGAATCAGTAGTAGCAGGCCTATGCTAGAAGCAGCTAGAGAGCCTACAACTGCTAGATCTAGATCTAGATGTAACTCATTGCTATGCCTTTGGGCTTTGGAATTGAAATAAAACGAATTGCACAGAGTTCTAGTTAATTTTAGATTCAGCAATTATCTGTATTTCCAGAGTTAATAATAACAAATCTCACCATAACAATCACTTTTACTTTTATTAGAATAATTAGATCCAACTTTTTTTTCTAAAATCTGTTTTGAGCAAACTTAAGACTTTCTCTACTTGTAGAGCACAGAATTTACATTGTAAGCTTCTGCTCAGTCTTTTACTTTTAAGTACACATACATAATAAAATGTGTATAATCTAGATCTAATATCTAGATCTATATAATCATTTTATGTTATTTTCTGGATGTTTTAAAAACTTTTTTTAAACATGTCATAAAGTCAAATTGTGCCTTTTCTTTGATAAGAATAGCATTAGCAGTGGACTTTTTAGACAGTGAGTCTCTGATTCAATTTTTTTTAAAAAATATGCTAATCAATGAAAATTGCAAATTGATAATAGTATAGTCCTGTAGAGGATAGGTGGACTCCGGGGTCTGCATAGAGAAATACTAGGTTTTAGGATGTGAACCCCGGAGTCACCGTAGTGAAATAAGGTTTGCTTGGTTTAAGTAAGGATTGGTGGACCCCGGGGTCAACGTAGTGACAAATAAGCAGGTTTAAGGTGGACCCTGGGGCCCGGGGTCTACCTAGCGAAATACTAGGTTTTAGGACAGGTGGACCCGGGGTGACCGTAGTGAAATAAGTAGGTTTCTTTAAAGATCGGTGGACCCCGGGGTCACCGTAAAGAAATAAGTAGGTTTCTTTAAAGATCGGTGGACCCCGGGGTCATCATAGTGAAATAAGTAGGTATAATTTTAAAAGGATTGGTGGACCCCGGAGTCACCACAGCCGTTGAGGAATTTAAAGAAGGTTTAATTAAGGATTGGTGGACCCCCGGGACACCGTGATTACACCTACTTATTTTACTACGGTGACCGCATGGTCCACCTATTCTAAAACCTAACTAGTATTTCGTTAGGTAGACCCTGGGGTCCACCTTAAACTGACCTATTTCACTACGTTGACTCCAGGGTCCACCAATCCTTAAAATTAAACCTAGATCTACATGACTACATGTACATATTTCACTACGTTGACCCCAGGGTCCACTAATCCTTAATTAAACCTAGATCTACTGATTTCACTACGTTGACCACGGGTCCACCAATCCTTATTAAACCTAGATCTACTTATAATTCACTACGTTGACCACGGGCTCCGCCAGTCCTACTATAAAATAAACTGAGATGTACTTATTTCACTATGTTGACCCCGGGGTCCACCAATCCTTAGTTAAACCTAGATCTACTTATTTCACTACGCTGACTCCGGGGTTCACATCCTAAAACCTAGCATTTTGTTAGGTCCACCTATCCTTTTGGGGCTAGATAGACCCCGTGGTCCGCCTATCCACTTCCTTGATAATAACTGAAAAACATGCCAGTTGTCAAGAATAGTGAAGAAAAATGTGAAGAAAAAAAAGATAATGAGGTAGACAATAATTTGTCCAAAAAATTGCAAGTGCAAGTGAAGATCATAAGATAATTTTGCTATTTTCGGGTCATCTTTTCACGGTTTATAAAATGTTCCAGTGGGCTTACTACTAGATCTATGTCTCTGAAGAACATTTTGGTTGACTTTATTAGCTTTTTTCATGTACCTGAAAGCATAGAATATAATAGTTTCACACAAATGTATGCACAATACCTTGAAAAAGAAAGATAAGGTTTGTTGTTGTAGTTTTTTAACGGAATCCGTTTTACGTTGAGAAAAGCGCTAAAAACAAGTTTAAAAATTTTAAGAATGCCCATAATATTAGGAATCTGAAATTACTACCTTGATCTAGTTTGCTTACTCTTTAATAACCATGAGCTGTTCAGAAAAAAAAAAGAGAATGATATAGGATTTGTCTAAATATGACCATTAGTATTAGCATTATAAAGATATTGCCCATTTTGTCCAATTATCCTTGCAGGTAAAATTACCCTGTACTGCACCTCAATAAGCACAAAAAGAATATTTCTGTGACTTTGTATAAAGGTGTTTTGTAGTTGAGTTCTATTCTATGTAAAATTCTCAACAAAATAATGTACATTTGGATCGTACAACTGAGATAGACACTCATGCACACAATGACATTCACACATTACACACACACACATAAAAACACACTATTACATTTACTCTCTCTCTCTAGATCTCTCTCTCACCACAACCACACACAAAACAAACGCATACACACACACACTCACACACACACACAGACACACAACTCTTACCCTTGGTCCACTTTTCATTTAGTATCATCCTCTATTTTGAAATAATCCCCTGCACTAAATAAAAAGATCAGTAGAATCTCGACCTTCCGAATCCATGGTTAGTTCAAGAAATCTACCATATGATGTGGCCTAAATAAGATAAGGGAGGGGGGTTTGGCTTATTTGGTCCATATGTGGCCTAAATAAGGTAAGGGAGGGGGGTTTAGCTTGTGGCCTAAATAAGGTCACCCAAAAATAAAATATAAAAAAAACCTCTCACAAAAAGAAAACCATAATAACTGCTCTGACAACAGCATATATCTGCATGCAAGTCACTAGAAAAATCTAGATCTGAAATGCAAAGCAACTTGTAGGAATAAAACAGAAATACAGTAAGCCTACGTGTATCCAGAAACATAAACAGTAGAAATTTTCCAAGACGGACCGAGGAGAAAAGTGGGTTGTAATAGACAGATAGACAGGTGGACTTCTTAGACAGAGTCATTATAACATTTTTAAAATGCAAAGAGGGGGGGGGGGGGGGGGGGAAGGAGACAGAATGGGAAGCGTTGTTTGTCTAGGTGATTTTACAGACAGGTAGAATTTGGAGTGGGTTCGGTTGTATTTCTGGGTAAATGAACCCAGTACAAGTTACTCATAACTTAAAAGTCACGTGTATGAAAAATGTTAGACATGAAGAAAATGGACAAACAAATTATTTGTTGGAGTCGCTGCTGACCCAGCAATGAACAAGCCTTGCACTCTGTCTATGTCATTATGAAGAGGAAAAATAAATTGTGTAGGTCCCTTTTAACATGGTGTGATTATTTAAAATCGGTGGCGTCGGTGGCCTAGTGGTTAGGCTCTCGGACTCGCAACCGTAAGGTCGTGGGTTCGAATCCCGTCAAGGGCCCGACGTTGTGTCCTTGGGAAAGGCACTTTACACGAATTTTCCTCACTCCACCCAAGTGGGAATGGGTACCCGGCTATGGACAGCGAAAGATTTTGTCAGTTTGTTAGTGTTTGAGCGCTTAATCGGCTGCTCGCACTGTATGCTTCCCGGGAAGCTGAGAATGTTTCGGAGTGTTCTATGGTCTGCTGGGGTAATAATATAGTGTAAAGCGCATAGAGCCTGCAGCTGAGCGGGGATATGCGCTATACAAATGCTATCTATTATTATTATTATTATCAAAAGGCAGGACCTCTGAATTCAACATTTATCTCCAATACGACTAAACCAAAAGGGGAAAATTTGTGTGAAGTGCTTTTCCCAAGAATACCAAGTATAACCACCAAAAAAACCCCAACATTCTCATGATTTTCTCACCCATCATTGGATTGGTGTTCATCATCATTTGGTTGCCACTGTTGTCCATACTGCTTGACATGGGTGGGGGAGGGGGCCGTGGGGGCATCTGGTTCGGCTGGAAACTGGGGGTCGTTCCTTGTGGAAGAAAGGGCGGGATAGTAACAACCATTAAGTATACCATTAGTTAGTAACTAGCTCTTAAATAGAAATAGAGGGCTTGGAGACAAAATGGTTTCTTCCAATATTCAAACCTCCACTTTTTCCCCCTTCAAACATTGAGCAGGATCTTTACTCCTCACTGCTTTACAATATTTAGTCACAATATTTGCTGTAACCAGCAGTTTTGTACAGCATTTACTCAATTTTTTTCCTTACACAGCAAACAAGCTCAACAGTTTCAAATATCAAATTCCTAAATGTTTCTCACATTTCAGATATATGGTACTGGTAATGCATTTAGTCATAAAACCCTTCACATATATACGGGCAATTATCCTGACAAGTTGAACTTATGGTAACACGCATATCAAATTTTATATTTCAATCAAAAAGCTTGGAAATATACTCAGTGCATCTTCAATATGTCCGTTTTGATAACTACAAGGCTGAAGCTAAAGTTTGAATAGTCTCTTGAGAAACTGAAATAGAAGTTTAAACAAGTGTGTATGTCTGAGAGAGAGAGAGACAGAGAGAGAGTGAGAGAGACAGAGAGATAAAGAAAGGTAAAGAAAGAGCAAAGGTGTGGGGGGTCAGGCAATTAACAATGAACAAAAAGATGGGTTGACCATGAGCCAAGCTCCGGATCTATACCTTAATGTGTTAAAAGAAAGAAATAAAAGATACAGCTACTAAAATTTTTTAACTCAATTGGTAACATATGTGAAAGGGGTGTCAAGCCACAAACAAAGTAAAAAAACAACAACTTATAGGTGAAGCCTGCTGACAAAATGAGTTACTTCTCAGATTCAAGCCGTAAGGAAATAGATGCACCACGCTTATAGGTGAAGTTTTACAATTTATAATTATGAAACAATAAAAGGCATGTTATACTTAAAGAATATGGCATCAATAGAATAATCTACTTTTTTTGTTTGTTTCAGTAGAGGTTTTACGGCGCTCGCAACGGCATAAGGTCATATGAGCGCCAGAAGATAAGAGGTGTTACAAGAGAGTAACAAACATAAAAAAAGAAAAGGGGAGATAAGGACAATTGATGTTTGAAGGAAAGAAGAAGCAAACCACACCTGAGCACCCGTCAACCACCCGCGAAAAATCTACAAATTGAACCCTAGTGTAGATTTGGGGCTAATATCTCCATTTGTGGAATGTGAGAAGTAACTCATTTCGTCAGCACGCCTCACATATATGCAAGAAAGAACAAACAAATACACAAAGGATAGACAGCACCAAAAAGCAAAAGCTCACCTGGTGGCATGGGTGGAGGGGGTGCCATGCCTGGCATACCCATGGGGTTGTAGTTCTGCTGCATGCTGGGTGGGCCCGGAGGGGGGAGAGGGGATGGGGCGGGGGGAGGTGGAGCAGCCAGAGATGGGGGGCCTGAACTGGGCACTGAGAAGGGGAAAAAAATAAGACAAGTGTCACTTTATATTGGACACTTTTTTCAGCACTTGTCCAGCAGTCTTTTATCTATGCTGATATTCTGGTAGCATATTATTTTAGGGTGTAAGTGTAATCAGGGTTATTTACGAGGAGAGGAGGGACCTCCGTATTTATCTCTTTGAACCTCATCGGACGCTGGGAGCCTCCTGCAATAATAACCCTGTTGACTGTTCCCCAACGGATGCTGGGAGCGTCCAGTACTAGTGACAACTGTTTCGTTTTCTTTAGTGCTAGATTTTCAATGTTTTTCGGAATTATTCCCGAACCAAGTTTTTTTAGTAATGACTAAGCCTTAGTTTATGCTATTTAGAAGTTGGAGGCCAGCTTTTTTGGGGTTATAATGAGACATAGTGCACTAGGTTTAGGTCACTGTAGAAAAAATACTCCGGGAAACGGTGGAAAAAACTCAGGGCTTAAAGAGTTGTCATCCATATCCGGTAACCCCCCCCCCCAGAGCAAAACAGGTTGAGAGCCTTGAAAACTTCACAAAACAATCAGAGTTTAAAAAAGCCCAGCCGGGGTGGGGTATTCGAAATAGGGCAATCTTCTCTGTAGTCAAGCACAATACCAACTGAGCTAGCAAAGTGCCCATACGGTTTGGTTATGTTATTCCACATCTCCCCCCCCCCCTGAAATGTTGGGATGAGCCAAATTATAAAAAGAATTTTACCTCATTTAATGAGAATAACATTTAGTAGGGTTTTACAGCACTGACAACAAAATAAGACCCAATAAGTGCCAGAGATTATTTTTTGTTTTTGTTTTGATAAGTGCTTTACAGCACTCACAAAAGTGCTTTACAGCACTCACAACTGCATAAGGCAGGACTAGGACTGCCTATCTCAAAGTTTCCATTTCAGGTAATTTCAGAGTCAATTTCAGGTATTTTCACCCAAAATCAGGCAGTACAAAGACAAATAAGGACAAAGAAAAGACAAACGTTACCCCGGTACACATAGTTACCATCAAACGGGGCTCACTTTTCATGGTATTAGGTCATAATAATAGTTTTAAAACTTGTGTGTGCCCGCACTTGTATGTGTGTGTGTGTGTGTGTGTGTTTGTGAGCGAGCGAGTGTGAGTGTGCGTGTGCGAGTGTGAATAATTTTTTAACCATTGCAGAAAGAGTCACCAAATGTTTTTTCTCCCACTCACCTATGACGGGAGGGGCAGGCACTGGAGGTAGGCTGGGAGTGACGCCCATGGGGGGAGGAGGGGGAGGGACCAGACCAGGGGGCGCCACCTGTGCAGCTGGCGGCTGTGTCGGAGGAGGGGGGGCGTCAGCGAACAGCTGGTGAGGCCTGCCCGTCAAGGACAACGGGTTCTGGGCCGCTAAAAGTCGCTCTGTAAAGAAAAGGCGGGTGTTAATATTTTTCTTTCTGCAAGGGCACAGAGAGCACATACACATCAACATGCACATCAGCATGCCAAGAGTAGAAGGGTACTTTTCTTTTTTAAAGTTACACTTAACTGAATTGATATATGTTGATGACAATACATTGTTTGCAACTTATGCAGACCTCATGTGTCAGTGTGTATCTTCTTCATTCTTCTTTTTCACTTCATACACCTGCTAGAGCTCAGGGAGTAACTGACAGTAAAATCTTCACCATCACTGCTTTTCAGTCAATCACATATAGTCTGACCGCAGTTACAAGAGAAAAAACATTGTTTTATGAGAAACTGCTGAGGTCTACAAGAGAAAAAACATTGTTTTATGAGAAACTGCTGAAGTCTTTAAAAAAAAAACTTCGAGAAATTAAAAAAAAAAGACTTTTTGCAGGTCTACCTATATAAGTGCAATCTAGACGCCAAATAGGCTCCAAAACATACAACACAGTAAACAAAAATTATAATTAATTTTGATTCACAACTAAACAGACAGAATTATTTTAGCATTCAACAGCAGGAATCTTAAATTCTGGAACAGAGAACATCTCCAAGGCCAAATGAAATGATGAAAAAGAGAAAACACAAAAAAACATGACCAGACAAGTTTCCCAACCTGCAGCAGAGCCACAGCGCTCTCCTTTGGAATCTTTCTTGAATGCGTAGGAAATGGTGATTGGTCTGTTGCACAAGTACTGGTCATTCATGGCTTCAATGGCAGCGTCGGAAGCCTCAAAGCTTGCAAAATTGATGAAGGCGTACCCTTTGGAATTACCTGACGCTTTGTCTCTCATAATCTACGGAACCGAATCACAAAATATTCATTACATTTAAGTAGCATTATTGTTTTCTAAAAAACTAAAGTATTTCACTGAAATAATACCAACATACACCAGTGGGTACAAATCGTCGCCTCAATTTTTTTTCCAAAGTACCTCTTTACTTAAGTACACTTTGGACAAAATAGTTCTGAGGCAAAGATATGTGCCATTAATACTCTTTTTACTTAAAACCCATTAATAGAATTTAACCTCAGATTTCAGCAATGTGTCCCAAAGAGATTTCCCACATGAGACACTGAAAGCAGACAACCATTTTATCCACTACCCAACACTCCACGAGACTTGATACAGAAAAGAAACTCATTTTCTTCTTTTTCGTCTGTCCTGCAAAATACACCCACCTGCCTATGACAACCATTTTTCTCCTTTAAAAAAAAAAGGTAGTCATTTAAAACAGGTTTAACAACAAATTTTTCGTTAACACAAGCATTAACATTAAGAAATTAAGAAGATTGTCACACATACCTTGAAAAAGAAGGGACAAAAAAACCCAAAAGAAAACAAACAAACAAACAAAAACCCAATGGATTACCTTAGGTGTTTGAAGGATAACTCCAAAGGCACTAAACGTGTCATACAAAAGCTTTTCATCAACCTCTGGATCCAGATTTCCAATGAAAATATTTGCTCCGATGTCTTGTCGTTTCGTATGTGCAGAGGCCTGAAATAATCAAGGGGCCACATTAATACAGAAGCAAATACATGAGTAACTCATGAAATGGGATAAAATTGTTAACATACAAATACATTATCATGGTTCATTATATCTATCAAAGAATAGTTTTAGTTTTAGTAGAGGTTTTACGGCGTTCGCAACTGCAAAAGGTCATATGAGCGCCAGAAGATTAGAGGCGTTACTAGAGAGTAACAAACAAAAAAAGGAGGGGAGATAACGACGATAGATGTTTGATAGGATAGAAGAAGCAAACTACACCAGAGCACCAGCCAACCACCCACACAAAGAATAGGCACCAGTTTCATTTCAAACAGGAAAAAAAAAGATAGGTGGTAGCAACACTGGAAAGAAATCGTAGGGGCTGACCATTCCAGTGCACCCATCAACCACCAACTGATGCCAATGAAGAAAAAAATAAGCAAAACTGCTTACCCTCACTAGCTGTTGCTACTGTGCATGACACCATTTTCAACATACACAAACACCAAGAAAAATATACAGGCAATCGTCAAGATCTAAACCTTCAAAGACTTCAAAAATAGGTCATCTTGTCCAACAGTTGCAGACTTTGCTTACTAACACTAAGCATGTGATGTACACATGGCTACATCACAATTACAAAGTTCTATCTGACATTTTTGGCAGTTCTGAGTTACGAAGACCATGAGGTCAGAATTCAAATGTTCTATATGCTCTTTCAAAGTCATAAGACTATTCTGAGTGGTTATCAAGATATTCAAAGAATTGCATTCGAAAAAGCTTGAAATACTGTGAAATTTAAAACATTCTTATGTCAAATTTCCCAAAACTATGCTCTGAGCAAATATAAATTTGTAATTCTGAGGTAGCAATATGCAAGAGAAGCAAAATCTGCGCTCACAACTGCATAAGGTCATATGAGTGCCAAGAGGTGGATGTCAACAGAGAAGTCTTTACGGGGAATCAGGCTTACTCTGCTCACCTCTCTAGCTTAAACAGAACAAAGTCTGTTTCGACTTTCAAGGCACCCCGGAAATAGCGGGTAACAAGAGTGTGACAAACATACAAAACAAGTAAAGGAAAATGATGATAGTAAGGATTAGGAAAGAAAAAGCAGCAGTTCCCTGTGGTAGTTCAGTGCTGTTCAGGCAGTTATGAGCATGATATAATTGAATCAGCCCATTTACAATTTTACTGTGCATAAGAACGAGAAATGTCCCCTCTTTGAGAATGGCCTAAAGACACTTCAGTCAGTGACACCGCCCCGGGTGGGGGTAAGATCAGGTCAGAAATGATCAAATCAACTGCTCAATGTAACACTTTGTCATACGTCATGGCATTTGGCCGAGTCTTACACACTGAGCAGTCAACATGACCATGGAAGGTTGCCCCTTACAACTCCACAAACAAACAAACAAACATGATGTTATCAAGTCAAACATATACGTTAAGAATCCATGAACTACAAGGACTGTAATAGAGAAGAAATCCCAACACCACATTCTGTAGATTAACTGATAAAGAGCTGAAGAACAACTTTAAATCGCAAATTCAAATTGTTGGCGAAAAACAAAATGGGGAAAATGGGGGGGGGGACGAAAAACAGTGTACAGTAGTTCCACATCACAAAGTCACACCAACAGCGAGATAAGACCCACCTTGTTTACACGTATGGGCTTTCCATACAGTTTGATCATGTTCATGATTTTGATGGCATAATCAGCGTCTTCCTCACTCATAAACTCAATAAAGCCATAGCCTTGGTGAGACTGGGTCACTCTGTCTTTGGGCATGTGCACGTTAACTGAAAAGTTGAATTAAATCTTTTTGAGTCACAGAGGTATAGAACAAGAAAATAGAATCGATATTAGTATAATGCAAAATCTCGTTATGTTATAATTATTACACTACTTTTTGAAATTATACCAAAACTTTAAAAAAAAAGTGAAACAGGAAATTAGTAACAAAATTATGGATGAAATATCAGACAGGTTACTCTTTACCAAAGTAAACGGACTAAACAACAGTCACGGTCACTTCTCAAAGCCAAAGGCTTTCTCTCCCCAGATTGTTTGTCAATCTTTGACATAATAACATCACCCTAGCTCCTTCAATCATGTCTATCAAGATTAATCTTAATCCAGCCAAAGGAAGAAAACAAAAATGTACTTGTTAACACATCTTCCCGACGTGACTGCACTCACACCCTCTGTGTACAAGGTGAAGTGCCTGGCCATGACACTCCAGTAGTGACTACAATCACTGATTTTCAAGCAACAAAACTATTGGACTTAGTCTTAGTATGAGAGAAAACTTTGAAACTGTTTAACATCAGAGCAAAACAACTTCACAGTAAGAAATATTGCCTTCAAATTGTTGAAGCATAGGAACAAGATAGCAAGAAATTTCAGTTTTTAGACATGCACAAATTACAATCAGAGAAACGGTGTGCACAAATGATGTCATGCATCACATCCAACACCAAAGAATCAAATAGTTCGGACATCTCGTGCGATTACCAACACACCACCCAGCACAATGTGTCTATATCACAAAATTTGATTGCAACATGGCTAGAGGGCGACCGAGAAAGACCTGGATAGATGGAGTCAGGGAAATATTAACCACCCATGGCATCCCCCTGACCCAAGCTCTCCGGCTGGCGACAGACGTCTCTTTCTTCCCGCGACACCCAAAAGATATAAGCGGCGGATAAAGTAAAAGTAAAGTACAAACGGCCGACCAACTAAAAAGCATATTATTTATCACCATAATTCATAACAATGCTGCCTGGGTAGAAGTTTATACAGTCGTACCTGTGTAAGACGGCCACCCATTGTCAAGGAGAAAAGTGGCCGTATAAGACAGGTGGCTGTCTTAGGCAGGACTGAACAAGATGAAGAAAACAAACCATTCTTTTCTGAGGTCCCAACCGAAAGTAGCCGCACTGTTGTTGTTGTTGTTAATATTGCTGTTGTTGTTGTTTTCGCTGGGGGGGGGGGGGGGGGTCTTTTGTTGCTGCTTTTGTGCAAGGGTGACAATAAAACCAAATGGACCGAGTGCTATGGTAAAACAAACACATGGGTCGCCACCACTCGGATAACGAGCGACGCTTCTGTCACAAGTTCATGTTGATGTCCATTGTTACTTTGTTACTGACTGGGTAAACAGTGACCACTCATCTCATTTACGATTTGTGTATGAGTTCTGGGCGGGGCTTAAGGGTTATGAGGAATCACACGCTTACCTCCTTAGCAGCTGAAAATTTGTTACCTATTGGTCAACAGTGGGAGGGGCCTACGCAACATGATCGGTTGGAGGGACTACTTAACAACAACGACAGGTGATTGGATTATGACGGTTCGCCCACAACGCCAGGGGGCCAATGCATGATTTATGACAAAATGTAATGGCGTCACTAAGGTGGCCGTCTAAGACAGGTATTATTGTTTGGTGTGATAGGGGTTGTGTGTTAAAATATGGTGGCCGCGGCCGCGTTGGACAGGTGCCCGTTTTACACAGTTAAATTATATATAGAAAAACCGCAAGGGGGGAAATGGAAACTGGCCGTTTGTACAGGTGGCCGTCTTAAAGAGGTGACCGTCAGGGCAGGTTCGACTGTACTAGCAAAAATCTTTGGGAAAAAAAAAGTTTGCATACGAGCTGAAAGTACTTAAACTTAAACCCATTATCTATAAGGCTAGCTAAACGTTAAACTTGGTGTGATCAGAGATGGTAATCAGTAGAAACAGACTGTACGATGTGGGTAAATTAGTCTTTAAAAAACAAATCTGTACTCTGCACAACAGGCTAGTTCTATACACAACAAGAAGCTTTCAAACAAAAGAACAGTGGCACTTACCCACAGGCCCTGCCTGCAGAAACAGCTCCCATAGAATGTTCTCCTGAACCTTTTCATCCAGACCACCGACATATACAGTCGCATCTGAAAAGTTATAAATATATTATATATGAGAACAACATTTCCAAACACAGTCAAACTTGTATGACAACTCACCCACTGTCAAGGAGAAAAGTAGTCATCTTAGACAAGAGGTTTTCTTGGTCCGTGCCATTATGAGTTAGGAAAAAAATGCTAGGGGAAAATTGAAAGTGTTTGTTCGTACAGGTGATTGTCTTAAGACTTGTTAAGCAGTCATTGATGAGAGTTCAATGGTCCAGTGATCTCTGCCTGAGAACATCATGTGTAAGAACTCAGTCCACTTAAGAACCCATTCTTATCAGGGAATGGAGTTTTTTTCTGCATATTTTACATGCCTAAAAATCAGTCTAAAAATATTTATGCGCATTCTCTCTCTCTTGCCCTTTTTCACTCCCAGTGGAGCACAGGCCATCAACAGCATTACTCCAGCGAAGCCTGTCCTGAGCATCCTTTTAAATGTTTTTCCATGATGTCCCCGCTTTTTCAATTTCAGCTTGTACCGCTCGTCTCGTTGTCATCTTTGGTCTTCCCTTCTTTCGTTTTCCTTGTGGGTTCCACGTTAAAGCCTGCCTGATGATGCTTGACGGGGGTCTCCTCAGGGTGTTTCCAATCCATTTCCATTTCTTCACCTGTATATCTTCCTTTATTGGCCTTTGGCTTGTTCTCTCCCACAGTTCAGCATTAGTGACTCGATCATACCACTTGATCCCCACTATCCTTAGTAGGCATCCATTTACGAAGCTCTGCAGTTTCCTTGCTGCTGATGCTGTGAGCCTCCATGTCTCTGAACCATACAGTAGAACAGTCTTCACGTAAGAAGAACCCGGTTTAAGCTCAAAGTAATAAACTTTTCTGAGCTGCTTTACCATGCTCTGCTTGAGATCGGTTGAATTGAGAAGAACTGGCGTGGACTAGATCTAAATCTAGTAGACCAAACAGACGCAATCGTACATAGAATGGGGTGGGGGGTTTGCATGCACATGAGTGAGTCTTCGTGGCAGGTCAGCCTCAAACAGATTGCCACAAACCGAATATTTAAATCAATATCAACATCCAGTAGTCTTTGCTTGTGTGATTTAGCGCTAGATCTAACGGGACAGCAATTGTACAGGAGAGTGCCCCGCAATGGTACAGGAGTGCCCTTTCCAGGGTGGCAAGCCCCCCGGTGATCTTATACTTTAGTACGTTAAATTCTACAATTGATTTTATCTAAGCTATCATAGGCTAGAGGTCTGCGCACGCGCGCGTGTGTGTGTGTGTGCATGTGTGTGGCGGGACAGATAGATCTAGAATCTAGATAGAATCTAGATCTACACACTAGATAGATTATGGAAGTGGCTATTCTCACCCAAGGTGAGAATAAAATTATGATCTACCTCTCACCCAGGGTGAGACTTGCCAGCGTAGGCTATTCTCACCCGGTGTGAAACAAAACCTGTGTTTCCTCATTTTGGAATACTGTCTATCGGTGTGGATGATCAAATTGATAAAAGCCAAGAAAAAATTATGTTACAGCACAAAAGTAAGCTAATTTGATCGTCTTCAAAGATGCTACGGCTATTTCACTTTTCGAATCGAGCCGAACTACGCGGGTTGCCATTTTGTTTTGCCCGGAAGTTCTCGAAAGATCTACTCCTCCCCTCTCTCTCTCTCTCTGTGTCTCTTTCTGAATACTGTCTATCGGTGTGGACAATCAAATTGACCAAAACAAAGTTTAAAAATGATGTTAAAAAACAAAACAAAATTAATTTGGTTGTCTACAAAGATGCTACGGCTCTTTAACTTTCCGAATCGAGCCGAACTACACGGGTCGCCATTTTGTTTTGCCCGGAAGTTCTCGCGCTAGTCCCCTCTCTCTCTCTCTCTCCACTGCCCACAGACAAAATTGCACGCTTTTAGGCTTCTAACACTACTAACACTCAGTAAGTAATAGATCTAGATTCTAGATCTAGATTCTAGATCTAGAACGTTTGTTCACAGCACAGAATTCTATAATTCTGTTATCACAGTGTAGACTTATGTGGTTCAGGGTGAACGCTTCACTGGTTGGCCTAGGGTATAACGGTGAACGCCCACCGGGTGAGAATAGCCAAAAGACTCGCCTGCGCTATTCTCACCCGGGCGGCCCGGGGTGAGAATAGAGGTGGCCATAGATTATAGATAGACAGATAGATCTATAGATAGTAGACAGACCTCTAGCCTACTACGATAGCTTAGATCTACTAATCTAGATCTAGATAAAATCAATTAAAGAATTTAACATGCTAAAGGATAAGATCACCAGCCCCCCTGAAACCCCCCACTAACAGTAACAGTTACAGGCCCAGGCAGGGGCGGGGGGGGGGGGAGGCCACCTCAAACCCCCTTCTTATGTAAACAAATGGGAAGGCAATTTCCACAGAGTCCCCCATATTGTATTGTTTTTGCTTAACACGGGGTTGATCAGTAACCACAAGTATCTTAATTTTAATTGTGATTGTTTCAGTTTGTCAACTCACTGGCACTGGCGAGCCGGCGAAGTTATCGATAATATGTTGACTTGCAAAGAAGCCAAAAAGATTGAGTGTTTCCTCAAATGGAGGCACATGGAAAATACGACATACCTTGATTTCTTTCTGCTATAGGTGCAGAAGACATGGTGTGTGTTGATCACAGCATTAACAATACGATACTGTGATAAATTCGAAATCAGTACGTCAACGCCAAAGATGCATCAGCTGCAGGAGTATGGAATAGTATGGATTGGATCCACAGATTGAGAGAAAAACAACGTAGTGAACTTCGTCTTTTCTCTTTTCACCTTCTAGTCTGGCAGTATCAAATTAATAAGTTGCTCAGAACAATTAACCCATTATACAAGCCTAGGCCTTCACGAAGCCTCATGCTAGATCTATGTCATTGTAACTATCACATTATATTATGATGCAGTGTGCATGCAAAACAGTTTTGTCGAGATAGAAATGTCAATGTCGGGGGAAGGCTCAAAATGGGATATTTTCGTGAGGATTTCTGTTTCCAGTGATCACTAATCACATGCAAGGAGCTTAGAACTTTTAATCTCCTTGCTAATCACTATAGTATATTACGCTCGAAGGGTTAAAGAAAGAAGAACGGGTTAGAATTGTTTTGGGAAAATAAGGAAAACGACAATGTAAAGATCTGCAATTTCCGTAGGCTATAGGCTACCGTTGCAAATATCTATGCTTTTATAAATACACTGTGGGAGATTAACACATGCTTTATAATTATTACAGCTGGTATAGCACATCTTAGGGACTAGTAGATCTAGTCTGTTAATTTATTTTTCTGAAGCATATACGAGCTGAATAATTATTGTTAACCTATTATTATTATTATTATTATTATTATTATTATTATTATTATTATTATTATTATTATTATCATCATTATTATTATTATTATTGTTATTACCATCAATATCATCACCATATCATCATTATGATCGTAGGCTATCATTTTCATGTAGTTTCTGTACTTTTCTTAGCGTAACATTAATCCACGAGCAGAGGGGGTCGACTTTGGGCAAAACTGACAAGCCGACAGGTTTAAAATGTTACATTGCATAGGCTATCAATACAGGAACGGACGATATATACACCGATCCTCCCACTAATGTATCATTGTCATTACATAATATGATACAAGCTGATTTCGTTGTGAGCAGCGTGATGTCATTATGTACTGTCCCTTACCTTTCACTGTTCGCTCTCACTTAAACCATTTTAAACGTATTTATATAAATATATTATATAGAACTTCTACAGGCCTATTTTGTTTGTTTGTTTATTTATTTCTGTAAGGAGAGGGAAATCGGCACAATAATTATCATTTAGAGCTTGGAAAACGTAAGATAGACAGGCAGAAACAACAGCAGAGGTTTAAAAAAAAAAACCAAAAAACCCAACGAAACAGTAATTAAGACCTCATCAAACCCTGACTCAGGCCAACTGCGTTTTTACTCTGCGTGTGACTCACAAACTGCATCATATCAATAATATGAATGGGTTACCTATTTCTGGCAGCTAAGGGAATTATTGATTTCTTATGTCTTTGAGTACTCTTGAGGCTGAGGGCGTGCCAATTTAACACCCGTAAATGTAACGTGCTGCATCCAGATTTCCTGCCCTTCATCTCTTGAATTGGAAAGAAAAATGCTTGGAATTTATGTGGTACCCCCCCCCCCTCACACGCACTCTTTCTCTCTCTCACTCACTCACTCTCTCTCTCTCTCTCTCTCTCTCTCTCTCTCTCTCTCTCTCTCACTCTCTCTCTCTCACTCACTCACTCTCTCTCTCTCTCACTCACTCACTCTCTCTCACTCTCTCTCTCCCTCCCCCCCTCTCTCTCTCTCTCTCTCTCTCTCTCTCTCTCTCTCTCTCTCTCCCTCCCTCTTTCCCTCCCTCCTCCCCTATCTCTGGTTAAAGGAAAATGCATTTTGTTTGCCATTTTCTGAAGATATACGAGTAATATTTCTGCATTTTTAAAAGTAGAGCCTACCGGTATTATTGTGTTAAATTTTAAGCTTATATCAGTAGAAAAACGTGAGCAAAAGAGATTGAAACTATATTGCATTTCATTGCTTCATTGACACCTTTTCGATGTGGTAAAAAATTCCCAATGTTGTTTGTACTGAAATGGCCCCAAAAAGCCTATGCATGGTAGGTATGAAGGAGAGAAAGAAGATATATTGAGCAGTTCTGCCCTAGGTTCTAGATGAATAAAATTGAATTGTCAACAATTTTTCAGTTCGACTGATCCATGAAAGTGGTTGTTTCAGTTCCCAGCTATCAGTAACACTCCCCCCCCCCGCGCTTATGACTTAATAGTGACAATTCTTCCCTTCTTGTGACTTTACAGAGACAATTCTTCCCTCCGTGACTTTGTAGTGACAATTCTTCCCTCCCTCCGTGACTTTGCAGTGACAATTCTTCCCTCCCTCCGTGATTTTGCAGTGACAGTTCTTCCCTCCGCGACAAATCTTATGACTTTGAAGGTGATAATTCTTCCCTCCTTGTGACTTTACAGTGACAATTCTTCCTTCCCTCCGTGATTTTGCAGTGACAATTCTTCCCTCCGTGACTTTGCAGTGATGCTTCCCTCCGTGACTTTGCCGTGACAATCCTTGTGACTTTACAGTGACAATTCTTCCCTCCTTGTGACTTTGCAGTAACGATTCTTCCCTACCTGTGGCTCTCACCCCTCCCCATAATCTATAGAGGACTATAGGGCCCAATCGTCCAGCGTTGTTGGTTGAATAGTTTGAAGAACAGGATCCTAACCTGGTGGTGTTGCAGCCAACGAAAGATCAGATGTCTGTGGTCAACAGCTTGACCCGTCCCGTGACGCTGTGATGTCCTGGCCGGGCTCATCGTTTCCTCAGATAACATCATGCTGGACCGCACAGCGGATTGCTCTGGTTCGAATCTCAGACTGGGCGTCGTTTTGTGGAATGTTTAAGGCTCTTATACTCTCAACCCATTTTGTTCGGTCCATCCAATCGGAGACGGGTGTTAAATTCGGAGGTCCAGTCCCTTAAATAACCTAATAGTACATATGTAATAGTGTTGATTGATAAGTAAGGGCGTTAAACCTGTACACTTATTTTTACTGTGTTCTCCTTCCTACTCCTGCTGGCAGCTGAGAAAAAAAAGTCCAGATCGGTGCCTACAAGTTGCACCTTTGTGCTGTCCGGAGCACTCACTTTGAGAACGTCAGTTGGGATAATTTCTGACAGGGAACTTTTCAAAACCTTCTTCAAATGACATGGAAAGTAAACGCCCCAGCTCCAAGCCGCACTAATATGGCCTCAGACATGCGCTCCCAGTGCTGAATTGCGAAACAACTTTGAGTGTAGGTGTGAGGGGGCTCTCGTGGCCTAGAGGTTAAGGTGTTCACCTCTCGTTCAATAGATCCCCGGGTCGAATCCGGATAATGACGGAAAATGTTCTTCTCTAACATTTTCCCCTTTCACATCCTTTCCTGCTCTCTACCAATGCTCTGTCGTCTCCACTTTCTGCCCCACCCCCTCACCCCATTTGCCTCCTCCTCTGGGCTCTTGGCTCTTTCTGCAGCCTTTCTACTGCTACTCCTTGGCTCCTCCTTACTGCTGTCTTTCAGCCACACACACCCCTGATCTTCTGATAGGAAAGATCTACACCTAGCCTTCTCGGACAAGGGTGAAAAGTCTCGGAGGTCCTGTGCAAGTTGCGCACGTTGAAGATCCCTTAGTGGTCCAAAATCGATATGAGTAGGCTTCGGCCGCTACAAGGGGCAAAATTGAAAATTTCCTAAACTGAATTTCCCAACTGAAAATGTTTAATGTGTTCCGCGTGCTCATAATAATGACCGTGTGCAGTTGAAAGCGCCGTAAAACACTTGCCAGAAAAAAAGAAAAGTGTAGGTGTTTTCTACGCCGCCATCATCACAATTTAGATAAAATTACAACATCCTAGTAGAGAGACCGAGACTCGATAATAAATACTAATTTTCTTCCCACACGGGAATTGAACTCGAGGCTCCTGCATGCTAACGCTACAGCGAAGGTGCCTAACTGCTACACCATTGATGATTGACGCAGGTGCACAGGCAAAATTAAAAGTTAGAACAGCTTCATATGGGTATATAAAAATCGTTTTGCTGTTGATGGAAATTTAATCACACATTCTGTTACTGTAAGGAACAGCTGCCAGTAGCATGGGAAGGGAGAATTCAGAGTGTAAATGAGACGCAGTCAAACTCAAAGTTGGCAGTTGGCTATTGGACTATGGTTGAACTCGAGTTCAACTTGGTGGATTTCAGTACCTTATATTGCATCTCTGTTGCCTCCTATTATGCTGAAGCTGCAATTAGAAATTTAGATGTTGTGTTTGTTTAAATGTGGACCCACATGTAATTCATTTGTGAAATTTATGTACATGTAATTATTATTGTGAGCGCCAGGCATTTCTACCTTGGAAGCTTCACTGTGTAACTTTGGAAACCTTTTTATGACTTTATTCCATAGTGTGAATAGATTCAAGCAAAAATGTAGATGTGTGTGTGTGTGTGTGTGTGTGTGTGTGTGAGAGAGAGAGAGAGAGAGAGAGAGAGAGAGAGAGAGAGAGAGAGAGAGTGAAAGTATTCACCACATGCGCATGCGTGCGTGTGTGTGTGTGTGTGTGTGTGTGTGTGTGCGCATGCGTGTGTCTGTGTGTGTGTGTGTGTGTGTGTACCCCCACACCAGCCCTCACGCGTCGAGCGAGGTCCCCGTGTGGTGACAGAGTCAGCGAAATAGATCACGCCGACACCCCCACGTCTGTGTCTGTCCTACATTATATCTTGCCCTGTTTCTCACGGCAGGTCGGCAGCGCTCAGTCGTGTGGCTTCACGTAATCA